CACACTGAATGAAAGGTTTGCAATGGTTTGGGTGGAGAGACCTTAAAAACCACCCTGCCACAGCTGGGACACCTTCCACTGGAGCAGGGCTCCAGGCCCCCTCCAGCAAGCCCCAGCCACCACGTGAGATGTGGCCAGGACCTACCCGAGAGATCCTGGCGAGGAATGGCAGCTGAGGCAGGGCAAGATCAGGAAACCCTCCAAGATAAGCTGTCCTAAGCACACAGACATTGGAGTTTTTGTTAAGCTCCTTGGCCGGGGAGTGCCAGCGCCGGTGCAGAGCCGTGTTTTAATGGGGATTTAGCTGTGCAAGGGCTGAGCTGGTCCTGCAGCCTGTGTGTGCTCTGTGTGCTCTGCAGTCACACACAGCAGCTGATCTGCTGCTCCTCGGGGGGCACAGAGCCAGGAGAGCAAAGCTGAGCTGGTAAAGCACCCAGATGCCTTCATTTATTCTTTATGCTGCTCTCTGAGAGAAGCTGGTGATTATCCTGAGTGTCCCAGTGTGGCAAATATTAATAATTGAAGTTCTGAGGAGAGTGATTGAAGTCCAGGTAAGATTTCATTCTCCTGCTGCCTCTCTGTGCACACCCTTAAACTGACACCTGGTGCCTTAGAGGACAGATTATCCTTTGGCTCCAGTGCATGGAATTCCCAAAAATTCCTCAGGGAAGCCCTGATAGGTGGTGGTTGTGCAGGGACCCAGCCTACACACAGTCTCTGACCCCTTGCTTGGCTTGCCCAGAGCAGACAATAACTTTACTAAGAGGTTAATCTGCCTCCAGGAGGTGCCTGAGTTCTGGAATGAGGCGGCTGCTGTGCAGCTGCAATGGAGCTGTCTGAACGTGCTCTCAGGGAAAATGGGAAGGAGGAGGCTCCATTGCAGCTGACCTGTCCCTTGCATCCTTTCCTTCCTGCAGGAATGCATCCTCTCCGGGATTATGTCAGTGAATGGAAAGAAAGTCCTTCACATGGATCGGAACTCGTACTATGGAGGGGAAAGTGCTTCCATTACACCCCTGGAAGATGTAAGTGTGACAGACCCATCCTTGTGTCCTTCCTGGCACACAAAGGGATTTCATCCCAGTTACCCTTGGGGTGGCTGCAGATTAATGACGCTGAGGGTGTCCTTTGGGTAAGGAAGGTTTATGGCTCTTCCTCTGGGGGAGATGCCAGTGTGGGGTGTTTGGAGTTGGAGGGTTGTGCTTGTTTCCTGTAATTCCCACTTGGAATCCCAGCAAATCCGAGCACAGAGCATTCCAGAGCTGTTACAGCTGGCTGTTAAAACCCTTCAGCTAAATTGTAAATTGGAATAAGAAATGCCATTAAACAGTCCATCATAAATCCCCAAAGCCTGGATGAGCAGAATTACACTGCCTGCTTCTTACTGTGACAACTCACTGGATGTGTTTGTGTGCTCCAAACTCAGATTGGAGCTCAAACTGAAGAGCTTGTGTTCAGCCTGGAGCTGTGGGCGTGGAAAGTGTGTCCATGTGTGGGAGAAACGACACCCAGACAGATTTCCTGGGCTATAATAAGTTCTGTATTCTCTCTCCAAAGCTCTACAAAAGGTTTAATCTCCCGGGAACTCCACCAGAATCTATGGGGCGGGGAAGAGACTGGAACGTGGACCTCATTCCTAAATTCCTTATGGCTAATGGTGAGTGACCCTGAGCTCCCCGATACTCCTGGTGCTGGAATGGGACAGAGCTGCCAATCCTGAAATCCTTATCCTTGGATCTGTGTGCTCCAGTGCTGGACTGGGCTACAGCAAACCCCTTATTGGTGAAGGGTCCCCAGTGCAGCGCCTAAAACCAGCCCTGGCTGCTGGAATCCCATCCTGGAGCACCAGGGATGGAGGGATGAGGGATGGATGGATGAGCGATGGATGATGGATGGATGGATGATGGATGGATGGATGAGCGATGGATGGATGGATGATGGATGGATGGATGGATGGATGGATGGATGGAGGGATGGATGATGGATGGATGGATGGATGATGGATGGATGGATGATGGATGGATGGATGAGCGATGGATGATGGATGGATGGATGATGGATGGATGATGGATGGATGGATGGATGGATGGATGGATGATGGATGGATGATGGATGGATGGATGATGGATGGATGGATGATGGATGGATGGATGATGGATGGATGATGGATGGATGGATGGATGGATGGATGGATGGATGGATGGATGATGGATGGATGATGGATGGATGGATGATGGATGGATGATGGATGGATGATGGATGGATGGATGGATGGACGGATGGATGGATGGATGGATGGATGGATGGATGATGGATGGACGGATGGATGATGGATGGATGATGGATGATGGATGGATGGATGATGGATGGACGGATGGATGATGGATGGATGGATGGATGATGGACGGATGGATGATGGATGGACGGATGGATGATGGATGGATGATGGATGGACGGACGGATGGATGGATGATGGATGGATGGATGGATGGATGATGGATGGACGGATGGATGATGGATGGATGGATGGATGATGGACGGATGGATGATGGATGGATGGATGGATGATGGATGGATGGACGGACGGATGGACAGACAGGGCAGTGCCTGGCTCAGGGCTGCTGCAGTGGAAGAACTGATCGATCCCAGCCAAGGCCTGGGTGCTTTAGTCCCAGCCTGTGCAGCCTGCAGAGGGAATTGAGCACGGGGAGGGGTTGTTGCCGTGGGAGCTGCTGTGTCTGTGTCTGACTGTGCCAAACCCCTTCCCCTGCAGGTCAGTTGGTAAAGATGCTGCTCTACACAGAAGTCACTCGTTACTTGGACTTCAAGGTGATCGAGGGCAGCTTCGTCTACAAGGGAGGAAAGATCTACAAAGTTCCTTCCACTGAGGCAGAAGCTTTGGCCTCCAGTGAGTAGCTGCACCTTTTCTGTTCCCTCTGAATCCCCTAAACAGAGGCAAACCCATCCCTTGGGATATCCTTGATGCTCCTCATGCTTTAAGGAGCATCCTCAGGGCTCTCCTGCACCTCTTTGCCTTCAGACCCCCCTTGCTGTGAGCCTTGGGTTTGCTGAGCGCTGTTTTCTTGGAGCTCCCGAGCTGCCTGTGCAGTGAGATTCTGCTGAGAGCCTGGCAGTGTTTTCCTTCCCCAGGAGTTCCATCTGGGGCTCATCTCCCACCTCTGCCATAAATATTTGCTGTCATGTCCTCGTTGGAATTGTGTGTGTGAAAAACATTGCAGGCAAATTGGAATGACTAATTCTGACCTGTGGCACCTCAAACCTTAATTGGTGCCTACTCAGATTTCACTGCTCACATAAAGCAAATAACAGTGTGGTGGAATCCATTAGGCTCTAGAGGGCATTCCATGAGCTCCAGGCATGGGATGTGTTCAGCAGCACCTCTGAAACATCTTCTGATGAAGTGACCCCTGCAGTTAGGGCCCCAGATCTGCAGGGCTGAGCCTTCCTCGTGGCAGATGTTCCTGAAGGGATCAGGAATTCCTTCTTTTGGCCACGTCTCCTGTGTGGTCTCCAGGACACTCATCCTGGCAGGAGTGGAGGTGCTGCCTCTGCCCTCACGTTTCCAGTCTTGCTTCTGCAGTTTGTGGAGAGCTCAAGTGCAGGAATGGAGCCTTGTCCAGCCTCATGTTTGGGGTTTGAGGGACAGGACAAAGGGAATGGCCTCGGGCTGAAGGAGGGCAGGGTTAGACAGGATCTGGGGAAGGAATTCCTGGCTGGGAGGGTGGGGAGGGGCTGGGCTGGAATTGCCAGAGCAGCTGGGGCTGCCCTGGATGGATCCCAGGCAGTGTCCAAGGCCAGGCTGGACATTGGAGCAGCCTGGGACAGGGGGAGGTGTCCCTGCCATAGGGGTGGAACTGAGGCCCTTTAAGGTCCCTTCCAACCCAAACCATTCCGTGTTTGAACACTCAGGGGTTGCTCCCCACTGCTGTAATGGGAAAGGCACAAAGTGACTGAGGGATCTGAATTCTGCCAAAGCCCTGGTTCTGAATTCTCCCAACCCCTGGTTCTGAATTTTCACAATCCCTGGTTCTGAATTCTACCAAACCCCGATTCTGAATTCTCACAAACCCCGATTCTGAATTCTCACAATCCCTGGTTCTGAATTCTCACAACCCTTGGTTCTGAATTCTCACAATCCCTGGTTCTGAATTCTCACAATCCCTGGTTCTGAATTCTCACAAAGCCCTGGTTCTGAATTCTCACAAAGCACTGGTTCTGAACTCTCACAACCCCCGATTCTGAACTCTCCCAACCCCTGGTTCTGAATTCTCATAAACCCTGGTTCTGAGTTTTCACAAACCTCTGGTTCTGAATTTTCACAAACCCAGGTTCTGAATTCTCACAGCCCCTTGTTCTGAATTCTCACAATCCCTGGTTCTGAATTCTCACAACCCTTGGTTCTGCTGAATTCTCACAAACCCCGATTCTGAATGCTGCCAAACCCCTGGTTCTGAATTCTCACAAACCCTGGTTCTGCTGAATTCTCACAACCCCTGTTTCTGAACGCTCACAATCCTGGTTCTGAATTCTCACAACCCCTGGTTCTGAGCTCTCCCAGCCCCTGGTTCTGAGCTCTCCAAGCCCCTGGTTCTGAGCTCTCCCAGCCCCTGGTTCTGAGCTCTCCCAGCCTGTTTCAGGTTTGATGGGTCTGTTTGAGAAGCGCCGCTTCAGGAAGTTCCTGGTGTACGTGGCCAACTTTGATGAGAACGACCCGCGGACCTTCGAGGGCGTGGACCCCAAGAAAACCACCATGAGGGATGTGTACAAGAAGTTTGACCTGGGCCAGGATGTCATTGACTTCACAGGCCATGCCCTCGCTCTCTACAGGACTGATGAGTAAGTGGGGGGGTCAGCTGCTCCCCACATCCCAGGGTTTGGGGTTATGATGGGATTGATTGGTTATTTTAAACTTGGAGGGTTCCTGGGTAAAACTTGTGCCACCAAGTGCTCCTTAAAGGAACTGCCAGGGAAGCAGTGCCAGGAGCAGCTGCAGGGTGGGGAAGGAAGCGTCATGGGAAGGCAGAGTTTGCTCTCTGGGTGTGTTCTGCTGGAAGTGCTGCTTTGGGAACGTCCCAAACGGTGTCACTGTCCTTGCCAGCTATCTAGATCAACCCTGCCAAGAAACAATCAACAGGATCAAGCTGTACAGCGAGTCCCTGGCTCGGTATGGGAAGAGCCCCTACCTGTACCCCCTGTATGGCCTTGGAGAGCTGCCCCAGGGATTTGCAAGGTGAGCTTCACTAGGCTTGCACTTGGGTTTCACTTGGCTTGCACTTGGCTTGCACTTGGCTTGCACTCTGGGTTTCACTCTGGGTTTCCTCCAGTGGGCTGTGCAGTGGAGTTGGATGTGTGGAGTCACTGAGCTTGCAGAATGTGCTGCTGCACAAAATGCTGCGCTCCTTAATGGTTCCTTCACTTAATTAAGAGATGGTTCCTCCACGTGAGATCCTTTCTTTGGGGGCTTGTTCACCTCTGGATTTGCTGAGGGATGCTGTTGGCAGAGTGTTTATCCCTTGTGTTTGTTTAAGCAGAGGGTTTTGAGGAGGTTTAAGTCTGAGGAGGGGTTTGTCCAAGAGGAGCAGCCCCTGGGGGTTCAGGTGCAGCCCTGGAGGTGCTGAAGGGATTTTCCTGTTGCAGGCTCAGTGCAATCTATGGAGGCACCTACATGCTCAACAAGCCCATCGAGGAGATCGTCATCGAGAACGGCAAAGTGGTCGGGGTCAAGTCTGAGGGGGAGGTACGGACCCTTCCCTGCTCCCCTTGTGCCCCTCAAACTCACATCTTCTGGGTTTGATCACAGAGACAAAACCCTTTCTAAGGCCAAGGGCCAAACGTTGGGCTGGGGCTGTTGTCCCTGTGCCAGCTCGCTGAGCACACAATGTCCTGATGGGCAGAGCCCTCGGCATCTCTGCTCCGGGAGTTGGGGTGAAGTCTCCATGGGCTGGCAGGGAATAACTGAGGGAGGGAGCTGCTCCTCGTGTCCAGCTCTGCCCTTGGCACTCTCAGCTGCTCTGACAGCTGGCACGTGGCCTTCCTGCAGCTTCTGCACCACCTGGCTGGATGGAGCTGGGAATGCTGCCAGCTTGGGAGCTGAGTGGGCACTGCTGGGACAGCTGAGCACTTGCTGCTGGGATAACGTGTCCCTTGGGGTGGGAATGACCTGTCCTGGCCGGGAACAGAGGTGACAATCCATGCCAGAGACCAGAGTGTGCGCAGCCTGGAGGGTTCAGATGGGTAAATGGTAAATTATTATGGAGGAACCATTTCTGGTGTGAGCTGGGTGATTCTCCCCGTTGGCTCTCAGGTGGCTCGCTGCAAACAGCTCATCTGCGACCCCAGCTACGTGTCGGACCGCGTGACCAAGGTGGGCCAGGTGATCCGGGTCATCTGCATCCTCAGCCACCCCATCAAGAACACAAACGATGCCAACTCGTGCCAGATCATCATTCCACAGAACCAGGTCAACCGGAAATCAGGTGTGTGCAGGGGGGTGAGGGGACAGGGACAGGGACAGCTCCTGCCAGCCCCAGGGGCTGCTGGGGCCCAGCAGGGCTGAGCTGCACTTAGGGGACGTGGGAGGAGCTGTGGTTGGAAAACCTCGTGAGGAACCTGCGGCAGGAAATGGCCCAGACTGGGAGAGGTGGGGGAGGGGCTGCTGGCCTGGAACAGGGCACTGGGGATCCCACCAGATTTTGGGAGCCATCATGGGAAACTGAGTTTTGGACATCTCCCATGTCCAGGCTGCTCAGGCAGAAGATGAGAGCATGTAGGGCGAGGATGGGACTCACTGCAGGTTCTCCAAATGATCCAGGGGGTGCCAAGTGTCAGGGCAGTGTTTTGGGATGGGGCTGGAGGTTTTGGGATGAGGCTGAGGGTGTTTTGGGATGAGGCTGAGGGTGTTTTGGGATGGGGCTGGAGGAGGTTTTGGGATGAGGCTGAGGGTGTTTTGGGATGAGGCTGAGGGTGTTTTGGGATGGGGCTGGAGGAGGTTTTGGGATGAGGCTGAGGGTGTTTTGGGATGAGGCTGAGGGTGTTTTGGGATGGGGCTGGAGGAGGTTTTGGGATGAGGCTGAGGGTGTTTTGGGATGGGGCTGGAGGAGGTTTTGGGATGGGGCTGGAGGAGGTTTTGGGATGAGGCTGAGGGTGTTTTGGGATGAAGCTGGAGGAGGTTTTGGGATGGGGCTGGAGAAGGTTTTGGGATGAGGCTGGAGAAGGTTTTGGGCTGTAGCTGGAGGAGCTGGAGGAGGTTTTGGGATGGGGCTGGAGGAGGTTTTGGGACGGGGCTGGAGGAGGTTTTGGGATGAAGCTGGAGAAGGTTTTTGGGATGGGGCTGAGGAGGTTTTGGGATAAAGCTGGAGGAGGTTTTGGGCTGCAGCTGTGCCCTGTCCCCCCAGATATCTACGTGTGCATGATCTCCTCTGCCCACAACGTGGCGGCGCAGGGCAAGTACATCGCCATCGCCAGCACCACCGTGGAGACCGCGGACCCCGAGAAGGAGATCAAGCCAGCCCTGGACCTCCTGGAGCCCATTGAGCAGAAGTGAGTCCTCAGCCTGCCCCTGTCCCCATTCTGGGGGACACTGAGCCCTCAGCCAGCCCCTGTCCCCATGCTGGGGGACACTGAGTCCTCAGCCAGCCCCTGTCCCTCTGTTGGGGGACACTGAGTCCCCAGCCAGCCCCTGTCCCCATTCTGGGGGACACTGAGTCCCCAGCCAGCCCCTGTCCCCCTGCTGGGACATCTGGAGCCTGCCCAGAGCTGGTTGAGCTGAGTGTGCTCAGCACCTTGAGCGCTGCCCTTGCACTGAACCGCTCCTGCTCTGAACCCATCCTTCCAAACCAAACCAAACCAAACCAAACCCAACCAAACCAAACTAAACTAAACCAAACCAAACCAAACCAAACCAAACCAAACCAAACCAAACCAACTAAACCAAGGCTGTTTCTCCCTTGTCCAGGTTTGTGAGCATCAGTGACCTGTTTGCACCGACCGACCCGGGAACCGAGAGCCAGGTGAGTGAGGGCCGGGCTGGGCAGGGATGGGCTCCGGCTCCAGCTCCAGCTCGGGGCTCCAACGCCGCCTCTGCCTCTGCCTCTGCTTGCAGATCTTCATCTCGCGCACCTACGACGCCACCACCCACTTCGAGACGACGTGTGATGACATCAAAGATATTTATAAGAGGATGATGGGATCAGAGTTCGACTTCGAGGAGATGAAACGCAAGAAGAACGACATCTACGGGGAGGAGGAGCAGCAGTAATGAGAGTCTCTAATTAGGAGAAGTTTAAATCGGCTAATATGAATATATAAGGAACTTAATGAACACTGTACGAAATTCAATATTGTAAGGCCTGCTTTTGTAATCCCATCTCTGAGAGATTGAAGAGTACTGCACTGGTAATGTTCCCTTTTTGGATATCATGTGTTAATTATTTCATTCTAGTAGGGCTGCTGTCCAGAATCTGGCAAATTCCTGACTGATATTCCTGACTAACCTCGTAAGCAGAAAGGCAGACTGAACTTACTCTTATTATTATTATTTTTGCAGACGTAGACGTGGGTGCAGATTTGAAATAACTCATTGACAGCTGTGTCTTACCTTGTCTTTTTAATCATTTGTAAAACATCCTTCACAATCCTGTGCTTCTGGTGAGCTCGTAGATGTGACGCTGATGTCACTCAAACCTGATATCAAGGAAAATAGAAACTGAGCACTCCATTATTGTGGACAGCATCCCTAAAAGTCTTTCCCATCAATCTTAACTCTGTGGCAAAGTTGTATCATGGACAAAGCCCACACCTATTGTAGCAGCAAATGTTGGCTTCGTTCTGGGCACAGAACTTAACCTCCACTTAAGCTTCTAAACCCGTTTACATCGGTTGGGACACAGCTGTGCCTCAGGCTCCTTTGTGTTTTAATCTTAATAAAATTGAGAGAACAAATTACAGAGCAGGCAAGATGTGGAAGTATTTTCTGTCCCCCGGTGGCTTCTCGGATGGACCAAACGGCGCTGCGGTATCGGCATGACAGAGCCTGTGCTTCTCGTGTCTCCTGAAGGCTCCAAATGATTTCTGTACTGCGAAGTAAAGCCAAATTCTGGAAACCAGTCCTGGCCTCTGGTCTGATTCACTTCAGTTCCGGGAGCAGCAGCTCCAGGCTGAGACCCTGCAGCATCTCTGCCTGCCAGGGCTGAGACGGGAGCGTTTCCTGCAGGAAGGCATTCCCTGGTTCTGTGGGAGCATTTCCTGCAGGAAGGCATTCCCTCCTGGTTCTGTGGGAGCATTTCCTGCAGGAAGGCATTCCCTGGTTCATTGGAGCATTTCCTGGTTCCACAGGAGTGTTTCCTGCAGGAAGGCATTCCCTCCTGGTTCTGTGGGAGTGTTTCCTGCAGGAAGGCATTCCCTGGTTCATGGGAGCATTGCCTAGTTCATGGGAGCATTTCCTGCAGGAAGGCATTCCCTGGTTCATGGGAGCATTGCCTAGTTCATGGGAGCATTTCCTGCAGGAAGGCATTCCCTGGTTCTGTGGGAGCATTTCCTGCAGGAAGGCATTCCCTGGTTCATTGGAACATTTCCTGCAGGAAGGCATTCCCTGGTTCTGTGGGAGCATTTCCTGCAGGAAGGCATTGCCTGGTTCATGGGAGCATTCCGTGGTTCTGTGGGAGCGTTTCCTGCAGGAAGGCATTCCCTGGTTCTGTGGGAGCATTTCCTGCAGGAAGGCATTGCCTGGTTCATGGGAGCATTCCCTGGTTCTGTGGGAGCGTTTCCTGCAGGAAGGCATTGCCTGGTTCATGGGAGCATTCCCTGGTTCTGTGGGAGCGTTTCCTGCAGGAAGGCATTCCCTGGGTCCGTGGTTCTTTCCAGCCTGTGCTGCTCTGGCTGTGTTTGGCGGGGCAGGGGTGGCTCAGGCTGTGCTGGCACAGTCCCTGTTCCTGCAGCCACCCAGTGCCACAGCTGGAAATGGCAGCAATAAATAATCCCTGTTGGGCTGCTCTCCATCCCCAACAGGAGCTGTTCAATCCCGAGCCATCCTTCCCCATTCCCTGGCTGGCACAGCCGTGCCAAGTGCCAGGAGAACCGAGGGAAAGCCTCGGGGCAGCTCCCCAGGGTGGCACGGGCTTCCCCTGGCACTGCTCCCACACCAGAACTGGGGTTTGATCCTATCGCGGTCCCAAAGCTGAGCCGAGCCCGCCTGGGGCTTCCCCTCCCCTTCCTCCCAGACCGGGCTTCTGGCACTTCCTCCTCCCCAGGTGCCACTGGCAGGAACAATTCCTGAGGTGCCCCTGGCAGGAACAATTCCCCAGGTGCCACTGGCAGGAACAATCCCCAGGTGCCACTGGCAGGAACAATTCCCCAGGTGCCACTGGCAGGAACAATCCCCAGGTGCCACTGGCAGGAACAATTCCCCAGGTGCCACTGGCAGGAACAATCCCCAGGTGCCACTGGCAGGAACAATCCTAAGGTGCCACTGGCAGAACAATCCCCAGGTGCCAATGGTAGGAACAATCCTGAGGTGCCACTTCCAGCACCACCTCCTGAGGTGCCACTTGCAGGAACCCTTCCCACCCTCGTTGCTGGGAGTGGGGCTGGGAAGCTCCCTCTGTGCCATGCCCATAAACCAGGTGGAAAAGAAATAATCCCATTATCCCTACCTGCTGTAACCTGCTCATTCCTCTGGTCATTCATCCTTCCTGCAGGGAAGCGCGATGGGATCCATCATCCAGGAGCCCACCGTGGTCTTGCTCACTCCTGGCTGCTTCCCCACCTCTGTCCCAGCTGGAAAACCCCCTGTCCTCCCTGTCCCTGCTGGAAAAGGCTGGATGCTGAGCAGGATCCCCTCTCCAGAAAGCAGAGCTTTGTGCCATTCGTGATTTTGGAGGTTTTATTAATCAAACTCTTTACAAAGTCATCCTGTACAGAGTGACCTCGCAGTCCTGGTTTAAAAACGAGCTGAGGGACGCCCCTGCCCCGTGGAGCCGGGTGGGAACGGGGCTGGGCTGCTCCTTTCCCCCATAAATAAAAGAGCTTATTCTGTTCCTGCTTCCCGCTATTTACAGGGGTTCCTGTGCTGGGATTCCACGAGTCCCAGCAGGGAACCGGTACCAGGAGGCAGCAGGGCTGAGCTGAAATGTAGTGTGTGCCTGAACAGCAACGACCGCGTGGAAAAGAGATTTGTTCTCCTTCCTCATCTTCAAGTAGACTTCGGGAAATTCATTTGCCTGCTCCAACGGCAGCTGCACGAAAAGACTTCAAACCACTCCAATAATTTACCTGTACCGTTTGAAAAGAACTTTCCTATGTGAGACTGGATGGCAGGGAATGAATCCCCTGAGGGTTTGCATTTCCCACCTTTAAATAAGATTTATGTACAGAGCTAAACCCAACTTTCCCCCACCCCCAGCAGTGACTGGGATGGATGGTGGGGATCCACTGGGATTCATGGGATGAGTGGTGGGGATCCACTGGGATCACTGAGCTCCACTGGGATTGATGGGATTGACAGGGATGGGTGGGGATACAGTGGGATCACTGGGATTGATGGTGGGGATCTACTGAGATCCACTGGGATTGACTGGGATGGATGGTGGAGATCCAGTGGGATCATTGGGATCCACTGGGTTGGATCCTGGGGATCCACTGGGATCATTGAGATGCACCGGGATGGACTGGGTTGGATGGTGGGGATCCACTGGGATGGTTGGGATCCACTGGGATGGTTGGGATCCATTGGGATGGTGGGGATCCATTGGGATGGTGGGGATCCACTGGGATGGTTGGGATCCACTGGGATGGTTGGGATCCATTGGGATGGTGGGGATCCACTGGGTTGGTTGGGATCCATTGGGATGGCTGGGAACGACTGGGATGGTGGGGATCCACTGGGTTGGATGGTGGGGATGTCCCCCACAGGACCGGGGTGCCCAAACTGGTGCCACAGGGCCTGGGGAGGAGCCGTGTCCTGGTGGCTTCACTTTGTCACCTGCAACACAGAGACGTGGCCCAGGTCAGTGCCTGGCACCCTCTGGGCAGTGCCAGCCTCCTGCAGAGCCTCCCCAGGGCCAGGCCTGGAGCTTTTCCCGTTTTCCAGGCGTGGCTCTCCTGGATCCAGCTGCAGGAATCGGTGCTGACCGGCAGATCCCACACCCAGCACTCTGGGATGGTCCCTGCCCTGCTGTGGGATCCCAGCTCCCTGCTGGCCACCCCACAGCCAGCCCTGAGCTGCTCCCAGCTTTTTGGGATCAATCCCAAGCTTTCCCCTCTTACCAGTAGCTTCTTCTGAAGGGAGCAGCCACTTTCTGCACCGTCCCGAGGAAGGTGGAGATGTCAGCCACCAGAATTCCTTTGCTTTCCAGCATCTCCCTGCAGCTGCTGCTGGGATTTTCTGCAAGGGGAGGAGCAGCAGCTCCGTCAATTCCAACAGAGGAGGCTGTTGCTAAACCTGTGGGAAATATCCCTACACCCCACCGTGGCTGCTCTGCTGCTCTGCCAGCACCCTCAGCCACCCACGGCTCCAAAAACCGCCACAAAACCCCAAATTCCCTTTCAGCACCCACACCTGCAAGAAGCCATTCCCACAGCAGCAGAACAGGGGATTTTTATCCCTCCCACCCCTCTCCAGGCCCTTTCAGAGGGCTGGGCTGCCTCACCTGTGAGGAACACGGCGAAGCGGGCGCGGATGTGCTGCGCCTGCAGCCCCAGCAGGCACTGGGCGCGCCGGGGCTCGGCCGCTGAGTCGCAGCCGTGGAAGGGCAGCAGCTCCAGCAGCTCTGCCCCCTGGCACCACCTCAGCAGCTGCTGCTTCCTCCGGGCACTGCCATCGACCCTGCTGAGAGAGGGGCACGGGCACGGCTCAGGGACTGAGCAGGCAGGGTGGGATTCGCCTTTCCAGGAGGATTTTCCAGCCCTACGGGTGATTTCTGGATCCAAAGTGGAAAAGTTCCCCCCTGCCCCAGGGCTGCCTGTGCTGGTTTGGCCTGGGGTTGGTTCATTTTCGTCTCAGGGGCTGCTCTGGGGGTTGTGCTGGAAGCTGTGGTGGGTCAGGGGGGTTTTGCTGCTGCTGGAGCAGGGTTTGGAAAGCCGAGGCTGCTCTCACTCACCCACAGGCCTGGGGGCACAAGGGCAGGACAGGTGGGTGCCACCGTGAGTGCCACTGTCCCAGGGGCGTTCCAGAGCCTGGAACCAGGCTCAGGATATAAAACTGGGAGGAGAAGGAAGAGGGGATGTGGGAGAGGTGGTGATGATGGAGCCTGGCTCTCCTGGGGCTGAATTCCTTGGTTTTCCCAGCTTTCCCTTTCCCTGCTGAACTGGCTTCATCCCAACCCAGGAGTTTCCTCACTTCACCCATCCATGGATGAACCCAGGCCAGAGCAGCTCCATCTTCAGCCATTCCTGGTGGGACCTGGAGTGGAAATTCCTTCTCTGCACCCCCATCCCTCCCCAGATCCCAGCTGTGACTGATGGGGCAGGGAAAGGAGCAGAGGGGGCAGAGCCCAGGAAGGTGCCCTGACCCCAGGGGGGTGCCAGGAGCTGGGATGGGCTGGGGAAAGGGAGGGAGGGAGGTTTGCTGGGGGAGATTTGGGGATGTGAATGTGCTGTGGGAGATTTGGGGATGTGCTGGGGGAGTTTCGGGGATGTGCTGTGGGAGATTTGGGGATGTGCTGTGGGAGTTTTGGGGATGTGAATGTGCTGTGGGAGTTTCGGGGATGTGCTGTGGGAGATTTGGGGATGTGAATGTGCTGTGGGAGTTTTGGGGATGTGCTGTGGGAGATTTGGGGATGTGCTGTGGCAGTTTTGGGGACGTGCTGTGGGAGTTTTGGGGATGTGCTGTGGGAGATTTGGGGATGTGCTGTGGGAGTTTTGGGGATGTGCTGTGGCAGTTTCGGGGATGTGCTGTGGGAGTTTCGGGGATGTGCTGTGGGAGATTTGGGGATGTGCTGTGGGAGATTTGGGGATGTGCTGTGGGAGTTTCGGGGATGTGCTGTGGGAGATTTGGGGATGTGTTGTGGCAGTTTTGGGGATGTGCTGTGGGAGTTTCGGGGATGTGCTGTGGGAGATTTGGGGATGTGCTGTGGCAGTTTCGGGGATGTGCAGCCCCTCAAGGGACTCTGTGCCTCCCTGCAGCACCCCCTGAGGGCGCCTCTGCCAGGGAGGAGCCTTATGGAAGCCCAGCAGGGAGCCAGGAGAGCAGCCAGAGCTCTGCCTCCTCCAGGATCACATCCAGGAGAACGTTCCAGGCCATCTGACGCTCTCCAGGCCCCAGGCCCTGCTGCTCCACCCCAGAAATCCCCATTTTCCAGGCAGAGCCGTTACCTGAGGTCTCCTCTGAGCTGCTTGCTCTCCCTGTGGTGCAGGAGCCACCTCCACCTCCCGCTCCTGTTGAGCTTCTCCAGCAGCTTCACCACCTCCTTCAGCTGGCCTGAGGGGACACCAGAGCTCAGCGTGGCCGGGATAAAGGGGGGCCTGGGGGTCTCTGGGCCCAGCCCTGCTCCACTGGGGCCACCTGGGGCTGCTCAGGGCTTTGTCCAGGGGAGCTGTGAGTCCCTGCAAGGATGGAGACCCAAACTGCACAGGAGGGGAACTGGGATCATGCCCTGGGGTGAATTTTTCCCTGATATCCTGAAGGACACGTGCAGCTTGTCCCTGTCACCTCACAGAGCCTCTCCCAGAGGAGGTGGCTCTGTTTCCTCTGCCCCTTCCCACTACGGAGCTGAAGGCAGCAGCAAATTCTCCTCCTTTTCCCACTGGATACTGGGAAGGAATTCCTGCCTGGGCAGGGATTCCCAGAGCAGCTGGGGCTGCCCCTGATCCCTGCAATGCCCAAGGCCAGGCTGGAGCAGCCTGGGACAGTGGGAGTGTCCCTGTCACGGAATTGGATGATCCTTAAGGTCTCTTCCAACCTAAAGCATTCCATGAGTGTCCAGACCAAACAAACACCCTGGGACAGCCAGGGACCTGTCCTGGGACCAGAAACCCACGGGACAGCCCTGGCCTGGCCTGGGATGTCCTGGGGACCCTGAGCTGGGCACTCCATCCCAGAGAGAGGGAGGAGTCAGAGGGAGGGCGGGAATCCCCCCTGGAGCCAGAGACAAGGGGAAGGTTTGGGATGTGTCCGTGGGACTCACCCAGGGTCACCCTTTCCAGCAGCTCCTCGTCGGACACCACGAACCCTCCGGCCTGGAAGAGCTCCTGGAATGTGTCCCCTGTCACCTCCTCGGGCTCGTCCACGCCGGCAAACACCACGCTGGGACAGCGCTTCAGCTCCAGCAGGCACGGCACCTGCTCCAGGGACGGGGATTTGGGAACAGGCCCAGCCCAGGGAGCCTGGAGAACCCAGTGCAGCCCAGCCCAGCCCAGCCCAGCTCAGGGAGCCCATCCCATCCCATCCCATCCCATTCCAACCCATCCCATCCCATCCCATCCCATCCCATCCCATCCCATCCCATGGATCCCATCCCATCCCATCCCATCCCATCCCAACCCATCCCATCCCATCCCAACCCATCCCATCCCATCCCATCCCATCCCATCCCATGGATCCCATCCCATCCCATCCCATCCCATCCCATCCCAACCCATCCCATCCCATCCCATCCCATCCCATTCCAACCCATCCCATCCCAACCCATCCCATCCCATCCCATCCCATCCCATTCCAACCCATCCCATCCCATCCCATCCCATCCCATCCCAACCCATCCCATCCCATCCCATCCCATCCCATCCCATCCCATCCCATCCCATGGATCCCATCCCATCCCATCCCATCCCATCCCATCCCATCCCATCCCATGGATCCCATCCCATCCCATCCCATCCCATCCCATCCCATCCCATCCCATCCCATCCCATCCCATGGATCCCATCCCATCCCATGGATCCCATCCCATCCCATCCCAACCCATCCCATCCCATCCCATCCCATCCCATCCCATCCCACCATTCCTGTCCCCACACCCCAACCCAGCTGGATGCAGATCAAACATTCCCTGAGCCAGGGTGAGGCTGGACCAGGGAAGCCCAGCTCCACTGCCCTGAGCTGGGCTGCTCCCAGTTTTCACTGGATGCTGGGATGGAATCCAGTGCTGAGGAGGGGCAGGGCTCCAGGAGGGGCAGAGCCCCAGGAGGGGCAGGGCCCCAGGCGGGGCAGGGCTCCAGGAGGGGCAGGGCTCCAGGAGGGGCAGAGCCCCAGGAGGGGCAGAGCCCCAGGAGGGGCAGAGCCCCAGGCGGGGCAGGGCCCCAGGCGGGGCAGGGCCCCAGGCGGGGCAGGGCCCCAGGAGGGGCAGGGCTCCAGGAGGGGCAGGGCTCCAGGAGGGGCAGGGCTCCAGGAGGGGCAGAGCTCCAGGCGGGGCAGGGCCCCAGGCGGGGCAGGGCTCCAGGAGGGGCAGGGCCCCAGGCGGGGCAGGGCCCCAGGAGGGGCAGGGCTCCAGGAGGGGCAGGGCTCCAGGCGGGGCAGGGCTCCAGGCAGGGCAGGGCCCCAGGAGGGGCAGGGCTCCAGGAGGGGCAGGGCCCCAGGAGGGGCAGGGCCCCAGGCGGGGCAGGGCTCCAGGCGGGGCAGGGCCCCAGGCGGGGCAGGGCTCCAGGAGGGGCAGGGCCCCAGGCGGGGCAGGGCCCCAGGAGGGGCAGGGCCCCAGGAGGGGCAGGGCTCCAGGCGGGGCAGGGCCCCAGGAGGGGCAGGGCCCCAGGAGGGGCAGGGCCCCAGGCGGGGCAGGGCCCCAGGAGGGGCAGGGCCCCAGGAGGGGCAGAGCTCCAGGAGGGGCAGGGCCCCAGGAGGGGCAGGGCCCCAGGAGGGGCAGGGCTCCAGGAGGGGCAGGGCCCCAGGAGGGGCAGGGCCCCAGGAGGGGCAGGGCTCCAGGCTCACCGTGTGGATGTGCGAGGCGATGTCCTGGTTCCTGACGATGACCAGCAGCCGCTCGCCGTGCCCGCGCCGGGCGCTGCAGAAGCTCAGGGGCTCCGTGCCCACAAAGCCCTGGGCCTCCAGCAGGGCCTGCAACACACACAGGGCAGCTCGGATGGGGAGCGTTCCCCTGGGGACACGGGGCAATGGGAGCCCCCAGCCCTGCAGGGATGGGGCACTCGGGGGCCTTGGCAGTGCTGGGGGGTGGTGGGACTTCAAATTAACCAGAGATTTAGGTGCGATACTGGGAAGGAATTCCTGCCTGGGCTGGCATTGCCAGAGCAGCTGGGGCTGCCCCTGGTCCCTGCAATGGCCAAGGACAGGCAGAGCACCCCGGGACAGTGGGAGGTGTCCCTGCCATGGGGTTGGAACTGGATGATCTTTAAGGTCCCTCCCACCCAAAGCATTCCATGATTCTGCAGTGACTCAATCCCAAGGCTCCTGTGCCTGTGATTCCAACTCCTGGCACTGGGAGCCAAGGTGGCTCCTGGCTCCCAAACCATCCCTGTCAGGCTGCCCAGGCTTCCCTGCTCCTGCCACCCTCAGCTCTGCCCTGGAGCTGTCCATCCCGATCCATCCCCATCCATCCTGATCCATCCCAGCCATCCTGATCCATCCCAATCCATTCCATTCATCCCCATCCATCCTGATCCATTCCAGTCCATCCCAACCCGCCCCAATCCACCTTGATCCATTCTGATCCATCTCCATCCATCCCAGTCCATCCCCATCCATCCTGATTGATTCCAATCCATCCCAACCCACCCCAATCCATCCCCATCCATCTTGATCCATCTCCATCCATCCTGATCCACCCCAATCCATCTCCATCCATTCATCCATCCCCATCCATCCTGATCCATTCCATCCATCCCCATCCACCCCAATCCATCCTGATCCACCCCAATCCATCCTGATCCATCACCATCCATCCTGATCCATTCCCATCCATCCTGATCCATCTCAATCCATCCCACTCCAACCCATCCATCCCAACCCACCTGATCCATCCCCATCCACCCTGATCCATCCCAATCCATTCCATCCATCCCAATCCATCCAGATCCATCACCATCCACCCCAGTCCATCCCGATCCACCCCAATCCCTCCTCATTCATCCCAATCCATCCAGATCCATCCCCATCTACCCCAACCCATCCGCATCCATCCCAATCCATTCAATTCATCCCAATCCACCCAGATCCATCACCATCCTCCCCACTGCACCCCCATCCATCCCCTGCACCCCCAGCCCGCTCCCGGAGCAGCTCCCACCTTGGCCCTGGTGAAGAAGGGCTCCTGGCCGGTCTCCAGCAGGTAGAACATGCCGGGCTGCCGGCCGGCGGCCACGCGGCGCAGGTGGCAGCGCAGGGCCCCGCACAGCTCCGCCACCATTGCCCGCAGCTCCGCCGGCCCGCGGGGCCGGGCCGGCCCCGGCCGGGCGCCCCCGGGCTCCCCCTGCCCCGGGGCGGCGCTCCCGGCCAGCAGCAGCCTCTGGAACTCGGAGAACTCGCGCAGGACGCCGGCCACGTCCCCGGCCCCGTCCCCGCGGGGCTCCGGCTCCGGGCCGCGCCGGTGCCGCAGCCGGGCCAGGCGCAGCGCGGCCCCGCGCTCCCGGCTCCGCGCCCGGGCCCTCCTGGCGGCCCCAGGGTCCCTGCGGGAGCGCGGCCGCCCGTCCGAGGGCGGGATCGTCACCCGCAGGGGGCTCCTGCTGCGCGGGGACAGCGGCGCGCGGGGAGGGAAGGCCGTCGGGAAGAGGCTCCTGGAGGTAGAAAAGGGCGGTTTGCCGTTCCTTAGGATTTCCCTTAGCTTATAGTGGAAGCGGAGGCACTCCATGTCCAAGGTGTGCTGGGTGATTTCCTGCAGGCCCCGCCACGTCCCCAGCAGGGACCGGGCCAGGTGGGACTCGCGGGCGCGGCGGCTGCGCCTCCGGGGCAGCTGGAAATGTGCCACCCTCTCCTGGCGCTGCCTGGTCACCACGAGGCCCCCGGAATCCCTGGGAATGCCCCAGTGCCAGCGCTCCCCGGGCTCCTCCGCCTGCTCGGAGCTCCTGGAGGAGCTGTCCCAGGTAGTCCTCGCTCCTGCAGCATCCACGGGTCTCACGATGCAGGAGCTCCTGCTTGGAAGAGGGGAGCGAGAATTCCCCTCCAAATATTCCTGGTCTGAGTCACCAAAGGAATTCTCCAATGGATCCTCGAAGGCCAAGCCCTCGTGGGTGTCTTGGCTTGGCAGCTGCTCTTCCCCTGGGAGCACATCCAAAATATCCTCGGCGTCACTGAACTCTGGGGGTTCTCCAAAGGGATCCCTGGGCTCGTCCCACGGGATGGGAGAAGCGGGAATTTCCCCCTGTCCCACCTCAGTGCCAGCACAGTCGGGATCAGGGAACCCCTGGGATCCCTCGGGGTGGTGCTCACACTCATCCCAGGGCTGGCACAGGGGACACTCCCGGGCTGGGAAAGGGGCAGGGCTGGCAACGCTGCCCCCTTCCAGCTCCTCGGGCACGAAGGGCTCCTCCTCCCCGGGGCTCCCTCCGGCATCCCCTGCCGGGCTCCGGGGGCCACCAGGGCTGCCACAGCTCCTGGGGCTGCCACGGCTCCTGGGGCTGCCACAACTTCTGGGGCTCCCAGGGCTGCCACAGCTCCTGGGGCTGCCAGGGCTCCTGGGGCTGCCACAACTTCTGGGGCTCCCAGGGCTCCTGGGGCTGACACAGCTCCTGGGGCTACCAAAGCTGCCGGGGCTACCATGGCCTCTGGGGCTACCAGGGCTACGACAGCTTCTGGGGCTGCCACCGCTCATGGGGCTCCCAATGCTCCTGGGGCTACCATGGTTCCTGGGGCTACCAGGGCTGCCACAGCTCCCGGGGCTCCCACAGCTCCTGGGGCTACTATGGCTTCTGGGGATACCGTAGCTCCTGGGGCTGCCATGGTTCCCAAGGCTGCCACAGCTCCTGGGGCTCCTCCTGGGGCTGCTCCCGGGGCTGCCATGGATGCTGGGGCTGCTCCTGGGGCTGCCATAGTTCCTGGGACTCCCATGGCTCCTGGGGCTTCCATGGCTGCCGTGTCTCCCAGCCCACCGTGCACTGTCTGGAGTGGGAGGGAGCATCCCAGGCAGCGCCTCAGGCAGGGGTGAGCCCGGCTCCGGATCATCCCATGGGTCACAGGGAGAAGGAGGAGCAGATCCTGGTTCTGCTGACGCTGCCACAGGTGAGCAGGGAGCTGGGGACTCCAGCAGCTCTTGGGAACAGCTGGGATGGAAGGAGCCGTGCAGGCTCCAGGCAGCCACGCTCACCTGCACGGCTCCTCCCTCCCGGCCCGGCTTCCAGAGGCGGCACAGCACCGACTCCCGCCGGCTCGGCACCGCGGGAACGCCGGCGGCAGGAGCAGCGGGAGCTGAGTCCCCCTGGATGTTTGGGAAGCTCTGCTGCTGCCTGGGGAGCTCCTGAATGGCTGAGACGCCCTCCCTGATGGAGGAGGAGGGCTCTGGTTCCAGCAGGTGATGGTGGGGAGGGATCTCCTCCATCTCCGTGTTCGTGGTGTCGTTCCCAGGGGAATTCTCCGTGCCAGGGAACACATCCCCGCTCTCCTCAGCTCTGCACTCATCTCCTATGTCTGTGCACCCAAAGGGGGAGTCCCGGCCATCTCCCGCTCCCACGGGATCATCCAGCTCATCCATGCCATTGCCAGAGGGGCTCCCCAGCTGTTCCTCCTCCAAAACCCCGTTCCCGCCCTGGTTTGACTCCTCAGCACCCAGGGAATCGGGGCTGGGATCGGGGTCACCCCCGCCCCGCGGTCCGAGGTCGCTCTGGGACGGTGACTGGAGGCTCCCCACGGGCTGATCCTCTGGGGCACCCCACGGATCCATGGACGCACTGGGAGAGGCCGGGCACACGGAGCTGGTGTCGGGGGACAGGGCCAGGCTCACTCCGGGCCTGCAGGGGGATCCCGGGCTCCGGGCCGGCTCCCAGGGCTCCCCAGAGGGCGCCGGATCCCGGTCTGAGCGCTCGGAGCCGTTCCCAGGCGTGGCTCCGGCAGGCCCCGGGCTGTCCGTGACGCTGTCGGGCTGTGCCCCACGCACGGGGCTGGGCTCGGGGGGCACTGCCAGCTCCCTGCTGCTCTCGCTGGGCGGTGACCCCACCTCGGCCACTCCAGCCCCGTCTGGCTCCGACCCCGGCGTGCCCGGAGCGCCCCAAGGATCCGGGAGCTGCTCCTGGTTTGGTGGCACCTCCTCAGGAAATCCTGCAGGGACAGCCCCGGCCCCACCTGAGGGCGCTGGGGAGGATCTGCCGGGGCAGGGGGGTGCCAGGGAGGTGGGGCTGGGCACGGGGTCCTGCTCAGGAACACCAAACTGCTCCGGAGACGCCGAATTCCCTGGATTGTGCTCACATTCCATCTCGGCATCGCTGCTCTCCGACAGCACCAAACCCACGGGGTCCGTGAAGGAGCCTTCATCCTCCAACTCCTCATTCTCCTTCATCTCCTCCTCCTCCTCCTTCCTCTCCTCCTTTTCTGAGTGCTCCGAGGGCTCCTGGCATTCCTCCCCTTCCTCAGGGGCTCCCCCGGGCTCTGCACTTCCAGGAGCTGCCTCCAAGGGCAGGGAATCACGGGCAGGCTGCGGATCGGCGCCATCCCCACCTTCCAGGGAAGGCCCGGAGCCTCCCGCTCCCTCCTCATCCTCGGGAGGGCCGGGGCCACTCCCCGGGGCTGCCTCCTGCTGCTTCTCCTGCTGCTTCTCCTGCTCCCCGTTCTCCTGAGGGGCACTGGGGGGCTCTGTCCACGGAGCTGTGCTGGAGTTCGGGGTTTGGCTCCCGGGGTTTTCCGTGCCCGGAGCATCCGGGGATCTGCTGGGACAGCCGAGCTCCTCGGGAGGGCTGGGGGAGATCCTGGCACCCGGCAGCTCCTCCTTGGCTGGCTCCTCCTGGAACACAAGCCACAGGGTAACAAGAAATAAACATTCCTCACAGGAAAAAAAAAAACCACTGGAATATTTTTTCCTTCATGCAAAACAGTTCCAGCCCTATGGAAGCTGCTCCCCTGTTCAAATTTCAAAGTTCGAGAATTGAGGCCTGGAAATACCTCAGCAGATCCCCACATTTAATGTTTGCCCCAAGAACCTCCACTCCTGACCACGTGCAGGCTGGAGAAAGTGTAAAAATGAATTTCAAGCTTTATCCAGAATGGAATTTTCATGGGTCTCACCGGAGGGATGAGGGAAGTGATGCAAAGCTCTGCACTGGCACCTGCGTGGGGGAAAAACCCCTGAGCCAACAAATCCCAGCTTTCCAAATCCACGCGGGAATGGCTGTGCTGGATCTGGAATTCTGCTCTGGGATGCTGGGGCTGCCCTGATCCCTCAGCTGAGGACACAAACTCGGAATTTAAATCAGGAACAGGTGCTGAGCTCGACACTTTAATTACTTTAATCTGGGATTCCTCCCCTTTGGAGGGCACCCCTGCTTCCCTGGGTACCCCACAAGCACAGCTGCTCCACTCCTCTGGAAAATCCTAATCCTCTAAGAGGAAAATCCTGCTCCTTGAAGAGGAAACTTCTGCTCCTCTAGGAAGAAATTGCTGCTCTTAAAGAGGAAACTCCTGCTCTTTTAAGAGATGGAAATCCTCCTCCCCTAAGAAGAAAATCCTTCTCACCGAAGAGGAAAATTCTGCTTCCCTAAGAGGAAACTCCTGCTCTTCTAAGAGGAAAAGCCCACTCCTTTAAGGGGAAAATCCTGCTCATCTAAGAGGAAACTCCTGCTCTTTTAAGAGATGGAAATCCTCCTTCCCTGAGAGGAAAATCCTTCTCACCTAAGAGGAAAATTCTCCTTCAAAAGAGGAAACTCCTGCTCCTTTAAGGGGAAAATCCTGCTCCTCTAAAAGGAATATCTTGCTATTTTGGGAGGAAAATCCTGTTCTTTTTAAAGAGGAAATTCTGCTCCTTTAAGGAAAAAATCCTGCTCTTCTGAGAGGAAAATCCTGCTCCTCTAAAAGGAACATCCGGTCTTTTAGGAGGAATATCCTGTTCTTTTAGGAGAAGAATCCTGCTCTTTCAGGAGAAACATTCTGTTCTTTTAGGAGGAAAATCCTGCTCTTCTAAAGAGGAAAATCTGCTCCTCTAAGAGGAAAATCCTGCTCTTTTAGGAAGAACATTCTGTTCTTTTAAAGAGGAAATTCTGCTCCTTTAAGAGGAAAATCCTGCTCTTCTAAGAGCAAAATCCTGCTACTCTAAGAGGAATATCCTGCTCTTTTAAAGAGGAAATTCTGCTCCTTTAAAGGGAAAATCCTGCTCTTCTAAGAGGAACATCCTGCTCTTTTAAGAGGAAACTCCTGCTCTTTAAAAGAGGACATTCTGCTCCTTTAAGAGGAAACTCCTGCTCCTCTAAAAGGAACATCCTGTTCTTTTAGGAGGAAACTCCTGCTCCTCTAAAAGGAACATCTTGCTCTTTTAGGTGGAATACCCTGTTCTTTTAGGAGGAAAATCCTGCTCTTTTAAGAGGAAACTCCTGCTCTTCAGGAGGAAAATCTGCTCCTCTAAGAGGAACATCCTGCTCTTTTAAAGAGGAAATTCTGCTCCTTTAATAGGAAACTCCTGCTCTTCCAAGAGGCAAATCCTGTTCTTTTAGGATGAAAATCCTGCTCTTTTAAAGAGGAAATTCTGCTCCTTTAAGGAGAAAATCCTGCTCTTCTAAAAGGAACATCCTGCTCCTTTAAGAGGAAACTCCTGCTCCTCTAAGAGGAACATCCTGTTCTTTCAGGAGGAAAATCCTGCTCCTCTAAAAGGAACATCTTGCTCTTCTAAGAGGAAACTCCTGCTCTTTTAAAGAGGAAATTCTGCTCCTTTAAGAGGAAAATCCTGCTTTTCTAAGAGAAAACTCCTGCTCCTCTAAAAGGAACATCCTGACTTTTAGGAAGAGAATCCTGCTGTTTTAGGAGAAACATTCTGTTCTTTTAGGAGGAAAATTCTGCTCTTTTAAAGAGGAAATTCTGCTCCTTTAAGAGGAAAATTCTGCTCTTTTGAAGAGGAAACTCTGCTCCTTTAAAGGGAAAATCCTGCTCTTCTAAGAGGAACATCCTGCTCTTTTAAGAGGAAACTCCTGCTCTTCCAAGAGGCAAATCCTGTTCTTTTAGGATGAAAATCCTGCTCTTTTAAAGAGGAAATTCTGCTCCTTTAAGGAGAAAATCCTGCTCTTCTAAAAGGACAATCCTGCTGTTAACATCTTCCAAGAGGAAACTCCTGCTCTTTTAAGAGCCAACACTCCCTGGAGCCCGCAGGCCGCACTCACCGCGCTGGTGACACTCGCGGTGACACCGGAGACATCCCGCGTGCCCTCCCCGGGCTCCACACCCAGCGTTTCCCCGGAATGCTCCTCCTGCAGGGAAAGGCTCTCGGGGCAGCTGGTGGAGGAAGGCTCCTGCTCCTCCTCCTCCTCGTCCCCGCAGGGCAGCTCCCCCGAGGAGGAGGACACGGTGCTGTCCACGGCTCCGGCCGCGTCCGGCCGCGAGCCCGCGGGGCTGCGCTGGGGCTGGGGGGCGCCCTGGCAAGGGGGGCTGGGGTCCAGGGAGCTGCTGGGGGTCTGGTCGGGGTCCCAGCCCGAGTCTGCGGGGCACGTCTCGAAGCCAAAGCAGTCCTGGCTGTCGTCGCTGAGCTCCAGGAAGCCGCCGGAGCTGCTGATGGAGACGAATTTGCTGGGGTTGCTGTGCTCCACCACCTTCCTGGAGCTGCTCAGGAGCTTGCTGGGCTTCCTGTAGAACAGGGCCACCCACATGTGCAGGATCAGCTTCATCCCCTCCACGTCGTCGGGGAGATCGGGATCCCAGGGCCTGGCGAGGGAAGCAGAGAGAGTCTGAACCATCCTCATCCTCCTCGGTTCTGCTCTGCTCCAGGGGATTCATCCACGGAGCTCATCCCTGGAGCTCAGCCCTGGGAATGCATCCCTGAGAATCCATCCCTGAGATTTCATCCCTGAGAATCCATCCCTGAAATTCATCCCTAAAATTCATCCCTGGAGTTCATCCCTGAAATTCATCCCTGGAGTTCATCCTTGGGAATCCATCCCTGAGAATTCATCCCTGAGAATCCATCCCTGAGAATTCATCCCTGAAATTCATCCCTGGAGTTCATCCTTGGGAATCCATCCCTGAGAATTCATCCCTGAGATTTCATCCCTGAAATTCATCCCTGGAGTTCATCCTTGGGAATTTATCCCTGAGAATCCATCCCTGAAATTTATCCCTAAAATTCATCCCTGAAGTTCATCCCTGGGAATTCATCCCTGAAATTTATCCCTGGAAATCCATCCCTGAGAATTCATCCCTAAAATTAATTTCTGGAGTTTATCCCTGAAATTTATCCCTGGAGTTCATCCTTGGGAATCCATCCCTGAGAATCCATCCCTGAGAATCCATCCCTGAGAATTCATCCCTGGAGTTCATCCTGGGAAATTCATCCCTGAAATTCATCCCTAAAATTCATTCCTGGAGTTCATCCCTGAGAATTCATCCCTGGGAATTCATCCCTGGGAATTCATCCCTGAAATTTATCCCTGGGAATTCATCCCTAAAATTCATCCCTGGAGTTCATCCCTGAGAATCCATCCCTGAAAGTCAGCCCTGGGAACTCATCCCTGAGAATTCACCCCTAAAATTCATTCTTGGAGTTCATCCCTGAAATTCATCCCTGGAGTTCATCCCTCAAATTCATCCCTGAAATTCATCCCTAAAATTCATCCCTGACAATTCATCCCTGGAGTTCATCCCTGAGAATCCATCCCTGAAAATTCATCCCTAAAATTCATTCCTGGAGTTTATCCCTGAAATTTATCCCTGGAGTTCATCCTTGGGAATCCATCCCTGAGAGTCCATCCCTGAAAATTCATCCCAGACAATTCATCCCTGGAGTTCATCCTTGGGAATCCATCCCTGAGAATTCATCCCTGAGATTTCATCCCTGAAATTCATCCCTGGAGTTCATCCCTGGGAATTCATCCCTGAAATTTATCCCTGGAAATCCATCCCTGAGAATTCATCCCTAAAATTAATTTCTGGAGTTTATCCCTGAAATTTATCCCTGGAGTTCATCCTTGGGAATCCATCCCTGAGAATCCATCCCTGAGAATCCATCCCTGAGAATTCATCCCTGGAGTTCATCCTGGGAAATTCATCCCTGAAATTCATCCCTAAAATTCATTCCTGGAGTTCATCCCTGAGAATTCATCCCTGGGAATTCATCCCTGAGAATTCATCCCTGGGAATTCATCCCTGAAATTTATCCCTGGGAATTCATCCCTAAAATTCATCCCTGGAGTTCATCCCTGAGAATCCATCCCTGAAAGTCAGCCCTGGGAACTCATCCCTGAGAATTCACCCCTAAAATTCATTCTTGGAGTTCATCCCTGAAATTCATCCCTGGAGTTCATCCCTCAAATTCATCCCTGAAATTCATCCCTAAAATTCATCCCTGACAATTCATCCCTGGAGTTCATCCCTGAGAATCCATCCCTGAAAATTCATCCCTAAAATTCATTCCTGGAGTTTATCCCTGAAATTTATCCCTGGAGTTCATCCTTGGGAATCCATCCCTGAGAGTCCATCCCTGAAAATTCATCCCTGACAATTCATCCCTAAAATTCATTCCTGGAGTTCGTCCTTGGGAATTCATCCCTGAGGATCCATCCCTAAAATTCATCCCGAAAATTCATCCGTGGAGTTCATCCCTGGGAATCCATCCCTGGGAATCCATCCCTAAAATTCATCCCTGAAATTCATCCATGGAGTCCATCCCTGAAATTCACCCCTGGAGTTCATCCCTGGGAATCCATCCCTCGAATTCATCCCTGGAGTTCACCCTGAGAATCTGTCCCTGAGATTTCATCCCTGAAATTCATCCCTAAAATTAATTCCTGGAGTTCACCCCTGGGAACTCATCCCTGAAATTCATCCCTAAAATCCATCCCGGAAATTCACCCCTGGAGTCCATCCCTGGCTCCCTGCAGGGCTCACCCCAAGGCAGGGGGGCACACACTGCTTGAAGCAGATTCCAGCTTTTTGTAGGAAAAAATAAAAAGAGAGGAAATCTGAGCTCCAAAGGAGGGATGGGCTCGTGGCTTTAGGGACGGATTCCGGCTGCAGAGCCACGGGAATTGCAGAATCCCAGAATGGTTTGGGTGGGAAGGGACCTCAAAGCCCACCCAGTGCCACCCCATCCATGGCAGGGACAGCTCCCCCTGTCCCAGGCTGCTCCAGCCCCAGTGCCCAACCTTGGCCATTGCAGGGGTCAGGGGCAGCCCCAGCTGCTCTGGGAATCCCTTCCCAAAATCCCACCCCAGGCTCCCTCTCCAGGGAATTCCCTCCATTCCCAGCTCTCCCAGCCTGCCATTGGATCCATCCCCACCCCGACTCCTCTCCAGGAAGGAATTTTGGGATCTGGGGGCTTCACTGGGAACCTCAGCACTCCAGGAAGGGTCTCCCTTCCCTTTGCCATCCCCAGCTTCCATAAAAATCCCTGGGGATGGATTCTGAGTGTCCCAAATCCCAGAATGGTTTGGGTGGGAAGGGCCCTTCAAGCCCATCCCATTCCAGTCCCACCATCCCAGGCTGCTCCAGCCTGGCCTTGGGCACTGCAGGGATCAGGGGCAGCCCCAGCTGCTCTGGCAATGCCAGCCCAGGCAGGAATTGCTCATTGCCAAGATGCCACCCATGGCTGCCCTCTGGCAGTGGGAGCCATTCCCTGGGTGCTGTCCCTGCAGGCCTTGTCCCCAGTCCCTCTGCAGCTCTGCTGGAGCCCCTGCAGGCCCTGCCATGTGCTGGGAGCTCTCCCTGGATCCCTCCCTGCTCCAGGGGAACATTCCCAGCTCTGCCTGGATCCCTCCCTGCTCCAGGGAACATTCCCAGCTCTGCCTGGATCCCTCCCTGCTCCAGGGAACATTCCCAGCTCTGCCTGGATCCCTCCCTGCTCCAGGGAACATTCCCAGCTCTCCCTGGATCCCTCCCTGCTCCAGGGGAACATTCCCAGCTCTCCCTGGATCCCTCCCTGCTCCAGGGAACATTCCCAGCTCTCCCAGCCTGGCTCCAGCCCTGCAGCAGCTCCATGGGTTCCTCTGGGTTCTCTCCAGGTGCTGCTGCTGTGTCCCCAGGGCTGGGGCTGCTCTGCAGATGGGGTCCCACCTGAGAGGGCCAGAATTCCCCAATTCCCCCTTTTCCTGCTGCCCACACCATGGGATCACCCCAGGACAGGGAGGAATTCTGGGTCCAGCACACCAGGCTGGGTCACACCCACTTTCCCCCTCACCACCATCCCCAAACCCTCTTTCCCAAGAAAACCACGGCAACACAGGGAACAAACCCCTCAAATATGGCACACAGAGGGCTGAAAGCACAGAAACCCCATCCCCAAACTCCCCCACCCCATCCCCAAACTCCCCCACCCCATTCCCAAGCTGACTTACCCATGCAGGGCCCGGATGACAGTTTTCTCCAGGGAATCGTTGGTGTACCTGCTGTCCAGGTGGAACAGATATTCCTGCTCCCAGCGGCAGGTGACCTTCATGGAGCTCCCACAGAGGGTCACCGTGTGGCTCCTGGAGAACTCCTCCTTCCTCCTGGGACAGCTCTGGCCGCGGGCGGGCTCGGCGGCGCCGCTCTGCTGGTGCCGGAACGGCAGCACCTTCCCGACCAGGGGAGCGGCCGGAGAACTCCTGGGGTGATTCCCTTTGGGATCCGGGGGTGCTCTGGGGTCCTCGGGCATGGGGGAGGCGTAGGAGTGCTCGGCGGAGATGATGGAGTGCGAGTTCGGCTCGCAGGCCGGCGGGGCCGGCCGGGGAGGGAGCGCCTGGAACCCGGCGCTGCTCCTGCCGACAATCCCAGAGGGTTTCTCCCCGGGAGGAGAGGCCAGCGGGCCGGGATCTGCTGGCTCGGGGAGAGCCTGGCTCTGGCACACCCTGCTGCAGGCGGGCTTCCTGCCCTGCCTGTCTGCCCTGTGGTATTTGTGGTCGGAGGCCGCGCGCAGGGATTTGGGGTCGGGCGGGCTCTGCCGCTCCGAGGAATCCCCGCGTTCCGCCGGGGCCCCCCCGGAATCCTTGGGAATCAAGGCGGGAATGCAGGAGCCCAGGGCCAGGTCAGCCAGCAGGTTCAGGGCGTGGGAGTCGCTGCTGTCCCCTGGCAGGGCAAAGGCAGCGCTGGGAATCGCCATGGGATGGACATTCCCTGGGATTTCTGCTCCGGGCGCTTGGGATGCGGCTTCGCCGGGGAGCTCCGAGGGCTGCTCCTTCCGCTCTGGGGGGAACAGGGAAAAAAATCCATTTAAAAAGAGGAAAAAATCAATTTTAAAAGGGAAATGATCCATTTTTGGATTGGGTGTTTTGCACAGACAAATTGGCTTTTTTTGGGATTTTTTGGGGTTTTTCAGGAGCCATTCCATGGCAGAGATGCTGGATGCGCTCTGGGACGGAATGTTGGGTCATGGAATGCTGGAAGGGAATTTAAGGATGATCCCATTCCAATCCCATGGCTCATCTCATTATTGAGACACAAAATTGGGGTTTTTTACAGCCAAATTGGCTTTTTTGGGGATTTTTTTGGGTTTAGCAGGAGCCATGCCATGGAGAGATGCTGGATGCGGTCTGGGAGCTCCAAAGGCAATGAGGGAATGTTGGATCATGGAATGCTGGAAGGGAATTTAAGGATCATCCCATTCCAACCCCATGCTCATCTCATTATTGAGTGAGACACAAAACTGGGTTTTTTACAGCCAAATTGGCTGTTTTTGGGGTTTTTTTGGGTTTCTCAGGAGCCACCCATGGCAGAGATGCTGGAGGCACTCTGGGTGCTCCAAAGGAAATGGGGGAATGCTGGCTCATGGAATGCTGGAAGGGAATTGAAGGGTCATCCCATCCCAACCTCATGGCTTGTCCCATTATCGAGTGAGACACAAAACTGGGTTTTTTTTACAGCCAAACTCGGAGGATTTGGGGATATTTTTTTGGAATTTAGAAGGATTCATCCCATGGGAGAGATGTTGGATGCACTCTGGGATGGCTCCAAAGGAGGGAATGTTGGATCATGGAATGCTAGAAGGGAATTTAAGAATCATCCCATTTCAACCCCATGGCTCATCCCATTATCAAGTGAGACACAAAATTGGGGTTTTTTACAGCCAAACTGGCTTTTTTTGGGGATTTTTTTGGGTTTAGCAGGAGCCATCCCATGGAGAGATGCTGGATGCACCCTAAAGGCAACGAGCAATGTTGGATCATGGAATGTTGGATCATGGAATGCTGGAAGGGAATTTAAGGATCATCCTATTCCAACACTATGGCTCATCTCATTACTGAGTGAGACAAAAAATTGGGTTTTTTTACAGCCAAATTGGCTGTTTTTGGGGTTTTTTTGGGTTTCTCAGGAGCCACCCATGGCAGAGATGCTGGAGGCACTCTGGGTGCTCCAAAGGAAATGGGGGAATGCTGGCTCATGGAATGCTGGAAGGGAATTGAAGGGTCATCCCATCCCAACCTCATGGCTTGTCCCATTATCGAGTGAGACACAAAACTGGGTTTTTTTTACAGCCAAACTCAGAGGATTTGGGGATTTTTTTGGAATTTAGCAGGATTCATCCCATGGGAAAGATGTTGGATGCACTCTGGGATGGCTCCAAAGGAGGGAATGTTGGATCATGGAATGCTGGATCATGGAATATTGGAAGGGAATTTAAGGATCATCCCATTCCAATCCCATGGCTCATCTCATTATTGAGACACAAAATTAGAGGTTTTTTAACAGCCAAACTGGCTTTTTTGGGGATTTTTGGGATTTTTTTGGGGTTTGGCAGCCATCCCATGGGAGAGCCATCCCATGGGAGAGATGCTGGCTGCACCCTAAAAGGCAACAACCAATATTGGATCATGGAATATTGGATCATGGAATGCTGGAAGGGAATTTAAGGATCATCCCATTCCAGCCCCACTCTCCCAGTGGCCTTGGACACTCCCAGGGATCCAGGAGGATTCTCTGGGAATTCCACCCCAGAATTTCTCCCCAGTATTTGACATTTTCCCAGTTTCAATCCAAAGCCATTTGTTTCCTCCCTGCCACTGGACAGCTCATCTTTTAAAGGAATTTTTTTCCCAAGGGGATTTTTTCTCACCACTCCCTTCCTGCTGCTTCTCCTGAGGTTTTGCTGCTCTGTTTTCCACGTTTTTCTGCGTTTTGCTTTTCCCTGGCTTTGTGGTGCCGCTCTCAGTGCCAGGAACCTTCTTTGTGTCCAGGTTTTCCAGGGTTTTGGGCCTCTTTGCCTCCACGGCAGGACCATTGGGAGCTGAGCTTTCCTTCTCCTCCTCAGCACTTTCACACTGGGGTTTGTGGACAATTTCTGCAGCCAGGACCTCTGCACCTGGGACAGGGAGAAGGAGGGGTTGGTTTTAATTTGGGAATTAAAAATTCATTGGGCAGAGGGAGGGATGGGGGGGAAGGGGTTTTGGTGATTTTACTTCTCATGATCCTGATTTAATTGGGGATATAATGAATTTATTCTCAATCAAATCAGGATAATGAGAAGTAGGATCTGACCTGGAAGGACCCAATCTCAGGTGGGTTCCCTGGGATAATTCCTGAGATTGATTTGGATGCTCCAGGCAAAGCTCCTGGATGGTTCCCAGTGAACCCTGAGCATCCCAGCTGGATGGAAGGAGGAAACCAATCCCATTTTTCCATTGTTCCGTTTTCCCATTTGAGAAACCAGGTTTAGTTTGAGAAACCAGGCTTAGACTGAGAAACCAGATTTGGGTTAAGAAAGCAAGTTTCAAATAAGAAACCAGGATTTGGTTAAGAAACCACGTTCAGTCTGAGAAACCAGGATTTGGTTAAGGAACCAGGTTTAGTTTGAAAAATCAGGTTTAGGTTAAAAAACCAGGTTTGGGTTAAGAAATCAAGTTTAGTTTGAGAAACCACATTTAGCTTAAAAAAACAGGTTTAGTCTGAGAAACCAGGTTTGGGTCCAGAAACCAGGTTTAGTCTGAGAAACCAGGTTTAGTTTAAGAAACCAGGTTTAGCTTGAGAAACCAGGTTTGGATTCAGAAACCAGGTTTAGTGTGAGAAACCAGGTTTAGTTTAAGAAACCAGGTTTAGCTTGAGAAATCAGGTTTGGGTTAAGAAAGCAGGTTTTAAATAAGAAATCAGGATTTGGTTAAGAAACCACGTTCAGTTTGAGAAACCAAGTACTGGTTAAGGAACCAGGTTTAGTTTGAAAAATCAGGTTTGGGTTAAGAAACCAGGTTTGGGTTCAGAAATCAAGTTCAGTTTGAGAAACCAGGTCTGGGTTAAAAAAACAGGTTTAATTCAAGAAACCAAGTTTTCCCAGCACCCACCTCTTTTCCTTCCATGTGGCAACTGCAGGTTGGCCAATTTCAGCATGGGCTCCTTGGGATTTCCCGGGGATCCCGATTTTTTGGGACCAGGGGAAGCGCCGCTGGGTTTTTTCTTGGCTGCCTCCCTAGGAGGTGTCTGTGCCTCGGGGGCCGGAATGTTCTTCCCCAGGATCCTGCTGGATTTCCTCCTGAGCTCCCGGCCCCAGGGCTTGGTGGGAGAGGTGACGCTTTTAGGGGATCTCTCCGGGGCGGGAGTGGGAAGCTCTCTCTGATCCCGCGTGGCTCCCGCTGATCTGGTGCAAGGAGCAGCACCTGGGGGCTCCGAGGAAGAGGAGGAGGAGGAATTGCCAGGATCATCTCCCACGTTCCTGGCAGCCCCACGCAGGCACTGCAGGGCTGCCGAGATCCCCAGGGTGAAGCTGCCGGGGTCGGACAGGTAACGGCGCAGCTGGGCCAGGGACCGCTCCGAAAATTCCTGGGAAGGGCCGGCGTCCCCATCCTGGCACGGAGAGGGGACAGGGACACCGGGAATGTCCTGGGAGCTCTCCTGGAGCTCTGCATACTCCTGGAGGTGCTCCTGGAGGCGGGCGCTGCAGGAGGAGCCGGCGGCCTTGCGCAGGGCGTAGCGCAGCCCCGGCAGCACCGAGGCGATCCTGAGCGAGAGGGAGCTCCTGGGAGCGCCCTCCCTCCTGGGCCTGGCGTCCTGCTGCTCCCCTGCAAGGGAAATAACATGGATTTAATCCTGTTAGCAAAGATCCTGAGCGAGAGGGAGCTCCTGGAGCTGCCCTCCCTCCTGGGCCTGGCGTCCTGCTGCTCCACTGGGAGGGAAACAAAAGGGATTTAATCCAGGTAGAAAGGGAGGGGATTCACTGGATCATTGCCTGGGGCAGGGAAACACTGGGGGGAAGGGGGAGAAGGGAAAGGGAAGGGGGAAGAGGAAGGGGAAGGGAGAAAGGAAAGGGAGAAAAGGAAAAGGAAAAGGAAAAGGAAAAGGAAAAGGAGAAAGGAGAAAGGAAAGGGAGAAAGGAAAAGGAAAGGGGAGGGGAGGCAAAAGGAGGGGAGGGGAGGAGAGGAAAGGAAAAGGAAAGGGAAAAGGAAAAGGAGAAAGGGGAAAAGGGAAAAGGGAAAGGGAAGGAGAAGGAGAAGGAGAAGGAGAAGGAGAAGGAGAAGGAGAAGGAGAAGGGGAGGGGAGGGAAGGGAATGGGAAAAGGGAATAAAGGCAACATTGAAGCAAAAAGCTCCAAAAATCAGCAAGCAAAAAGCTCAGCCCTGGAGAAATGTCCAAATTCTTTGAATGGATCCCACCAAACATCCCAAACCTGCTCCACATGGATCCCACCAAACATCCCAAACCTGCTCCAGGTGGATCCCACCAAACATCCCAAACCTGCTCCACATGGATCCCACCAAACATCCCAAACCTGCTCCACATGGATCCCACCAAACATCCCAAACCTGCTCCAGGTGGATCCCACCAAACATCCCAAACCTGCTCCTGATGGATCCCACCAAACATCCCAAACCTGCTCCTGAGGGATCCCACCAAACATCCCAAACCTGCTCCAGGTGGATCCCACCAAACATCCCAAACCTGCTCCACATGGATCCCACCAAACATCCCAAACCTGCTCCTGAGGGATCCCACCAAACACCCCAAACCTGCTCCACATGGATCCCACCAAACATCCCAAACCTGCTCCTGAGGGATCCCACCAAACATCCCAAACCTGCTCCACATGGATCCCACCAAACATCCCAAACCTGCTCCTGAGGGATCCCACCAAACATCCCAAACCTGCTCCAGGTGGATCCCACCAAACATCCCAAACCTGCTCCAGGTGGATCCCACCAAACATCCCAAACCTGCTCCACATGGATCCCACCAAACATCCCAAACCTGCTCCACATGGATCCCACCAAACATCCCAAACCTGCTCCACGTGGATCCCACCAAACATCCCAAACCTGCTCCTGAGGGATCCCACCAAACATCCCAAACCTGCTCCTGAGGGATCCCACCAAACATCCCAAACCTGCTCCACATGGATCCCACCAAACATCCCAAACCTGCTCCACATGGATCCCACCAAACATCCCAAACCTGCTCCACGTGGATCCCACCAAACATCCCAAACCTGCTCCTGAGGGATCCCACCAAACACCCCAAACCTGCTCCACATGGATCCCACCAAACATCCCAAACCTGCTCCTGAGGGATCCCACCAAACATCCCAAACCTGCTCCACATGGATCCCACCAAACATCCCAAACCTGCTCCTGAGGGATCCCACCAAACATCCCAAACCTGCTCCAGGTGGATCCCACCAAACATCCCAAACCTGCTCCACATGGATCCCACCAAACATCCCAAACCTGCTCCAGGTGGATCCCACCAAACATCCCAAACCTGCTCCACATGGATCCCACCAAACATCCCAAACCTGCTCCAGGTGGATCCCACCAAACATCCCAAACCTGCTCCACATGGATCCCACCAAACATCCCAAACCTGCTCCTGATGGATCCCACCAAACATCCCAAACCTGCTCCTGAGGGATCCCACCAAACATCCCAAACCTGCTCCTGAGGAATCCCACCAAACATCCCAAACCTGCTCCAGGTGGATCCCACCAAACATCCCAAACCTGCTCCAGGTGGATCCCACCAAACATCCCAAACCTGCTCCTGAGGGATCCCACCAAACATCCCAAACCTGCTCCACATGGATCCCACCAAACATCCCAAACCTGCTCCAGGTGGATCCCACCAAACATCCCAAACCTGCTCCAGGTGGATCCCACCAAACATCCCAAACCTGCTCCACATGGATCCCACCAAACATCCCAAACCTGCTCCACATGGATCCCACCAAACATCCCAAACCTGCTCCAGGTGGATCCCACCAAACATCCCAAACCTGCTCCTGAGGGATCCCACCAAACATCCCAAACCTGCTCCACATGGATCCCACCAAACATCCCAAACCTGCTCCACATGGATCCCACCAAACACCCCAAACCTGCTCCTGAGGGATCCCACCAAACATCCCAAACCTGCTCCACATGGATCCCACCAAACATCCCAAACCTGCTCCTGAGGGATCCCACCAAACACCCCAAACCTGCTCCACATGGATCCCACCAAACATCCCAAACCTGCTCCAGGTGGATCCCACCAAACATCCCAAACCTGCTCCAGGTGGATCCCACCAAACATCCCAAACCTGCTCCACATGGATCCCACCAAACATCCCAAACCTGCTCCTGAGGGATCCCACCAAACATCCCAAACCTGCTCCACATGGATCCCACCAAACATCCCAAACCTGCTCCTGAGGGATCCCACCAAACATCCCAAACCTGCTCCACATGGATCCCACCAAACATCCCAAACCTGCTCCAGGTGGATCCCACCAAACATCCCAAACCTGCTCTGGATGGATCCCACCAAACATCCCAAACCTGCTCCTGAGGGATCCCACCAAACATCCCAAACCTGCTCCTGAGGGATCCCACCAAACATCCCAAACCTGCTCCAGGTGGATCCCACCAAACATCCCAAACCTGCTCCAGGTGGATCCCACCCAACCTTGGACAGAAAATTCCGCTTTTGAAGAGCATTGGGCCCTTCAGGCCAGGCCTGCAGCCTAAAGCTGAGCTTAGGGGGGCTCAGGGGATGCTTTACCTCGGGGGCTCAGCGCCCGGGGGGAGCTGAACAGGAACAGGGCCAGCAGGCTGACGGGCTCCTTGGGCTCCAGGCCTGCAAAACACAGCTGGGGTCACACGCCTGGCTCAGGCTGAGAAACCAGGATTAGGCTGAGAAAATAAGGTTTAGTTTAAAAGAACAGGTTTAGTTTGAGAAACCAGATTCAGTTTGAGAAACCAGGTTTAGTTAACGAAACCATGTTTGGATTAAGAAACCAGGTTTGGTTTGAGAAACCAGGTTTGGTTTGAGAAATCAGGTTTTTTTTCAGAAACCAGGTTTAGTTTGAGAAACCAGATTTGGGTTAAGAAACCACGTTCAGTTTGAGAAACCAAGTTCTGGTTAAGGAACCTGGTTTAGTTTGAAAAACCAGGTTTGGGTTAAGAAATCAGGTTTGGATTGAGAAGCCAGGTTTGGGTTAAGAAACCAGGTTTAGTTTAAAAAAACAGGTTTAGATTGAGAAACCAAGTTTAAGAAAGCAGGTTTTAAATAAGAAACCAGGATTTGGTTAAGAAACCACGTTCAGTTTGAAAAACGAAGTTATGGTTAAGCAACCAGGTTTAGTTTGAAAAATCAGGTTTGGGCTAAGAAACCATGTTTGGGTTAAGAAATCAAGTTTAGTTTGAGAAACCAGGTTTAGTTTAAAAGAATAGGTTCAGTTTGAGAAACCAGGTTTGGGTTAAGAAACCAGGGTTTGGTTAAGAAACCACATTCAGTTTGAGAAACCAAGTTCTGGTTAAGGAACCTGGTTTAGTTTGAAAAATCAGGTTTGGGTTAAGAAATAAAGTTTAGTTTGAGAAACCAGGTTTAGATTGAGAAGCCAGGTTTAGTTTAAAAGAATAGGTTTAGTCTGAGAAACCAGGTTTGGATTCAGAAACCAGGTTTAGTCTGAGAAACCAGGTTTAGTTTGAGAAACCAGGTTTGGCTTGAGAAACCAGGTTTGGGTTAAGAAACCAGGTTTTAAATAAGAAATCAGGATTTGGTTAAGAAACCACGTTCAGTCTGAGAAACCAGAATTTGGTTAAGGAACCAGGTTTAGTTTGAAAAATCAGGTTTGGGTTAAGAAACCAGGTTTGGGTTAAGGAACATGGTTTCAAATAAGAAACCAGGATTGGTTAAGAAACCAGGTTTAGTTTGAGAAACCAGGTTTGGGTTAAAAAAACAGGTTTAATTCAAGAAATCAAGTTTAGTTTAAGAAACCAGGTTTAGCTTGAGAAACCAAGTTTAAAAAACCAGGTTTTAAATAAGAAACCAAGTTTGGGTTAAGAAAACAGGTTTCAGTTAAATCAGGTTTGGGTTAAGAAACAAGGTTTGGTTTGAGAAACCAGATTTGGGTTAAGAAAGCAGGTTGAAATAATAAACCAGGATTTGGTTAGGAAACCACGTTCAGTTTGAGAAGTCAAGTTTTGGATTCAGAAACCAGGTTTGGGTTAAAGAAACATGGCTTCAAATAAGAAACCAGGATTTGGTTAAGAAACCAGGTTTAGTTTGAAAAATCAGGTTTGGGTTAAGAAGCCAGGTTTGGGTTAAGAAATCAAGTTTAGTTTGAGAAACCAGGTTCAGTTTAAAAAAACAGGTTTAGTTTAAGAAACCAGGTTCAGTTTCAGAAACCAGGCTTTGATTAAGGAACTAGGTTTAGTTTGAAAAATCAGATTTAGTTTAAGAAACCAGAGCTGGGTTCAGAAACCAGGTTTAGTTTGAGAAATCAGGTTTAATTCAAGAAACCAGGTTTAGTTTGAGAAACCAGGTTTAATTCAAGAAACCAGGTTTAGTTTGAGAAACCAGGTTTAATTCAAGAAACCAGGTTTAGTTTGAGAAATCAGGTTTAATTCAAGAAACCAGGTTTAGTTTGAGAAATCAGGTTTAATTCAAGAAACCAGGTTTAGTTTGAGAAACCAGGTTTAATTCAAGAAACCAGGTTTAGTTTGAGAAACCAGGTTTAATTCAAGAAACCAGGTTTAGTTTGAGAAATCAGGTTTAATTCAAGAAACCAGGTTTAGTTTGAGAAATCAGGTTTAATTCAAGAAACCAGGTTCAATTTGAGCAACCAGGTTCAGTTTCAGAAACCAGGTTTGGGTTAAGACACCAGATTTAATTTAAGAAGCCAGGTTCAATTTAAGAAACCAGGTTTGGTTTGAGAAACCAGGTTTAGGTTAAGAAACCAGGTTCAGTTTCAGAAACCAGGCTTTGATTAAGGAACTAGGTTAGTTTGAAAAATCAGATTTAGTTTAAGAAACCAGAGCTGGGTTCAGAAACCAGGTTAGTTTGAGAAATGAGGTTTAATTCAAGAAACCAGGTTCAATTTGAGCAACCAGGTTCAGTTTGAGAAACCAGGTTTAGGTTAAGAAACCAGGTTCAGTTTCAGAAACCAGGTTTTGATTAAGGAACTAGGTTGAGTTTGAAAAATCAGGTTTAATTCAAGAAACCAGGTTCAGTTTGAGAAACCAGGTTTGGTTAAGGAACTAAGGCTTAGTTTGAGAACCCAGGTTTAATTCAAGAACCCAGGTTTAATTTAAGAACCCAGGTTTAATTCAAGAACCCAGGCTCGGTTTAGGCTCAGTTTAGGTTCCCAAACCCCAAAGGCAGCAGAATTAAGCCCAGCCCCAGCCCGGCCTCACCATCCTCCCGTGCCAAGGCCGAGGACGTGAGCAGGATGAGAACTCCCTGGTCCTGCAGATATTTGATGATTGCCTGCAACAAACAGAGAGAAAAAATCAAATTCTGCTCCTTCCCTGCTCCTGTGCCAGCTGGGATCAAAATATTCCTTGTCCAGGCAAAAATTCCTTAAAATGAGGAAATATCCTGATCAAGCTGGCTGGAATTAATGAGGATTAATCATTAACAATCCAGGAATTGCAGCCCAAAGGGGAAAATCGTGGAAAACACAAAATTCCAGCATCCTGGGAAAACACAACATATATATATATATATATATATATATATATATACACACACATATATATACACACTATTATTATATTTTATATATATTTATATATATATAAAATGCTTATAATGGTTCTATTTTCTGTTATAAGGTTTTTTAAGGTTAAATTATTTAATTACGAAGTGATACTTCAACTATTTTCATTTTTAACTTAATGATTAATTTCTTCAAGCTTGCACTGCAGACTTTTCTGTTTAATTCTAAAAGGAATTAAACTTATGAAAAGGAAGGTAAAGAAAAACAATTTGGTTTTGTCTTAAAATCTTTATTTTGGTTTTTATATATTGTTATATTTTAAACTCTGAAGTTTTTTACTTTTTGGTATTTTACTTTGTGATAGTTTTTACTTTGTGTTATCATACACTTTTAACTAGCTACACTTTTCTGTTTAATTCTAAAATATTACTTTAAAATCTTTATTTTATTTTTTACATATTACTGCATTTAAAAACTCTAAATTTTAAGTTTTTTACTTTGTGATATCATACACTCTTAACTAGCTTCACTGATTCTAAAATATTACTTAAACTTATGAAGAGGAAGGTAAAGAACAATTTGGTTTTGTCTTATCATCTTTATTTTGTTTTTTATATATGACTATAATATATACTCTATATTCCTATATATTATTATATCACTATTTTTATGTATTACTATGTTACTTCATAAACTCTCAAGTTTTTCACTTTGTGATATCATGCACTTTAGCTACTTGTCATTTTAGCGTTATTAATTAATTCTGGAAGGTTTTTTTATGGCTTTAGGTTAAATGTAGTGTTCTCTTGGGAGTCAGAGTTTGTTTGTAGAGGCAGTTGAAAATTTGCAGTATTTAAAACTACAGCAGAATAAAATAGAATAAAATGTAATAAAAGGGAATAATATGGAATTAAAGGGAATAAAAGGGAATAAAAGGGAATAAAAGAACAGAAAATGGAATAAAATGGAATAAAATGGAAAATGAAATAGAATGGAATAAAATAGAATAAAATGGAATAAAATGGAATAAAATGGAATAAAATAGAATAAAATGGAATAAAAGGGAATAATATGGAATTAAAGGGAATAAAATGGAATAAAATGGAATAATATGGAATTAAAGGGAATAAAATGTAATAAAAGGGAATAAAAGGGAATAAAAGAACAGAAAATTGAATAAAATGGAATAAAATGGAAAATGGAATAGAATGGAATAAAATAGAATAAAATGGAATAAAATCGAATAAAATGGAATAAAAGGGAATAATATGGAATTAAAGGGAATAAAATGGAATAAAATGGAATAAAAGGGAATAAAAGAGCAGAAAATTGAATAAAATGGAATAAAATGGAATAGAATGAATAAAATGGAATAAAATGGAATAAAAGGGAATAATATGGAATTAAAGGGAATAAAATGTAATAAAAGGGAATAAAAGGGAAGAAAAGAACAGAAAATTGAATAAAATGGAATAAAATGGAAAATGGAATAGAATGGAATAAAATGGAATAAAATGGAAAATGGAATAGAATGGAATAAAATGGAATAGAATGGAATAAAATGGAAAATGGAATAGAATGGAATAGAATGGAATAAAATGGAATAAAATGGAAAATGGAATAGAATGGAATAAAATGGAATAAAACGGAAAATGGAATAGAATGGAATAAAATGGAAAATGGAATAGAATGGAATAAAATGGAATAGAATGGAATAAAATGGAATAAAATGGAATAAAATGGAATAAAATGGAAGTGCGGCTCCTGCCTCAGCCAAAAGCGCTGCAATTCCCAAATTTATTCCTCCCCTGAACGTTCCTCCTTGTTTTTGTGGCTGTGCCATCCTGACACTGATGGCTGGGATTTCTCTGAGTGGAAATGAAGATTCCAGCCCAGATCCCAGCTCTGGATTTGCAGGAAAAGCAAAGCCCAGCCCCAATCCAGCGGGAAGGGACGAGCTGAGGGTTTATGCTGGGACATCAGGCTCAAGAGTTATTTCTGAGGGTTTTTCCTTGGGATTTATATTTTTATAAATATTCTGGTTTTTTCCAGCACAAAAAAAAATCTGGCTTCGTGCTGGAAAAAAACCAGAATACAAAAATATATATCCCAATTAAAAACCTCCAGAAATAATTCCCAGCTTCAGGTGATGAACACAAAAAAGAAATATTTGAGAGCAGCAAAGCAGGAAAACGACATTTAAAGCAGGGAAATTTGTTCCGTTCTGTGTTAGCTGTGGATAACGACTGCCCCAGGGGGGGAAGCACAGCCCCACCATCGGCCATGGACTGACCCAGGCTGCACTGGAAAGGGGAGAGGCTCCAGAACATCTGCAGTATATTGATGACATCATTGTGTGGGGGAACGCAGCTGCGGAAGTGTTGGAGAAAGGGAAGGAAATCATCCAGATCCTCCTGGGAGCTGGTTTCGCCATTAAAAAGAGCAAAGTAAAGGGACCAGCTCGTGAGATTCAGTTCCTGGCAGTGAAGTGGCAAGATGGACCGCGTCAGATTCCTACAGATGTCATCAACAAGATCACAGCAATGTCTCCACTCACCAATAAGAAGGAGACACAAGCTTTCTTGGGTGCAATAGGTTTTTGGAGGATGCGTATTCCTGAGTACAGTCAGGTCGTGAGCCTCTTTACCTGGTCACCCGCAAGAAGAACAATTTCCAGCGGGGCCCTGAGCAGCAACAAGCCTTTGTCCAGATCAAGCAGGAGATTGCTCATGCAGTAGCCCTTGGCCCAGAGGTAAAGAACACGCTCTACTCTGCAGCCGGGAACCATGGCTTGTCCTGGAGCCTTTGGCAGAAGGTGCCTGAGGAGACTCGGGGTCGACCACTGGGATGTTGGAGTCGAAGCTACAGAGGGTCTGAAGCCAACTACACTCCAACAGAGAAAGAAATCTTGGCTGCCTATGAAGGAGTCCAGGCTGCCTTGGAGGTAATGGGCACTGAAGCACAACTCCTCCTGGCACCCCGACTACCGGTGCTGGGGTGGATGTCCAAAGGCAAGGTTCCTTCCACTCACCATGCCACCAGTGCTACATGGAGCAAGTGGATTGCTCTCATCACTCAGCGCGCCGTATAGGTAAACTGAATCGCCCTGGGATTTTGGAGGTCATTACAAATTGGCCCAAAGGTGAGAATTTTGGTGTCACAGATGAAGAGGAACAAGAACCAGTGACACGTGCTGAAGAGGCTCCTCCCTATAACCAACTGCCCCCAGAGGAAACACGCTACGCTCTTTTCACTGACGGTTCCTGTCGCATCGTAGGGATGAACCGGAAGTGGAGAGCAGCCGTATGGAGCCCCACATGACAGGTTGCACAAGCTACCGAAGGAGAAGGTGGATCAAGCCAACTTGCAGAACTCAAAGCTGTTCAACTGGCCCTAGACATTGCTGAGAGAGGGAAGCGGCCAAAGCTCTGCCTCTGCACTGACTCATGGATGGACACCAGAAATGTCATTAAAGGCCACTTCACCCCCAGACAAACACTCACCAAGTCCTTCTCCTTCAGCTTCTCCAGCAGCAGATCCATTTTGGGCTGATCCCTGTGGGAGATTTCCACCTCGTAGAGACTGGAGTGAACGCCCTGGAAGCAGACTGGGACAGGAGGGGTTGGGGTGGGGATGGGGATCGCCATGGCTCCGTCCCAGGACGGAGATGGAATTGCTGGGGGCACTCCAGGAGCAATTCCTCTGGTTCCTTTCATCTCCCACACCCAAATGCTCTTTTTCTTTCCTCTTTTCCCATCTCTGAATATTCCTTTTCTTCCTTTTTCCATCTCTAAATATTCCTTTTTATTCCTTTTCCCATTTCTAAATATTCCCTTTTATTCCTTTTCCCATTTCTAAATTATCCCTTTTATTTCTTCTCCCATCTCTAATATTCCTTTTCTCCTTTTTTCATATCTAAAACTTCTTTTTATCCTTTTCCCATCTCTAAAGTTCCTTTTATTTCTTTTCCCATCTCAAATGTTCCTTTTCTTCCCTCTTTTCACATCTCTAGAATTCCTTTTACTCCTTTTTCCGTCTCTGATTTTTTTCCTTTTATTCCTTTCCCATCACTAATATTCCTTTTATCCTTTTCCCATATCTCAAAATTCCCTTTTATGCTTTTCCCATCTCTAAAATTCCTTTTATTCCCTGTTTTCCATCTCTGAATATTCGTTTTATTCCTTTTCCCATCCCTAATACTCCTTTTTATTCTTTTCCCATCTCTAAAATCCCTCTTGTTCCTTTTATCTCCCACACCCAAATGCTCTTTTTCTTCCTCTTTTCCCATCTCTGAATATTCCTTTTATTCCTTTTTCCATCCCTAATATTCCTTTTTATTCTTTTTCCATCTCTAAAATTCCTTTTGCTCCTTTTCCCATGTCTGAATATTCCTTTTCTTCCCTTTTTTCCCATTTCTAAAATTCCTTTTCTTCCTTTTTCCATCTCTAAATATTCCTTTTTATTCCTTTTCCCATTTCTAAATATTCCCTTTTATTTCTTTTCCCATCTCTGAATATTCCTTTTCTTCCTTTTTCCATCTCTAAATATTCCTTTCTATTCCTTTTCCCATTTCTAAATATTCCCTTTGATTTCTTTTCCCATCTCTGAATATTCCTTTTCTTCCCCCTTTTCCCATTCCTAAAATTCCTTTTCTTCCTTTTCCCATCTCTAAATATTCCTTTTTATTCCTTTTCCCATTTCTAATATTCCCTTTTATTTCTTTTCCCATCTCTAATATTCCTTTTATTCCTTTTTCCATCTCTAATATTCCTTTTCTCCTTTTTTCATATCTTAAAATTCCTTTTATGCTTTTTCCATCTCTAAATATCCCATTTTATTCCTTTCCCATCTCTAATATTCCATTTTATTCCTTTTCCCATCTCTAATATTCCATTTTATTCCTTTTCCCATCTCTAAATATCCCATTTTATTCCTTTTCCCATCTCTAATATTCCATTTTATTCCTTTTCCCATCTCTAAATATCCCATTTTATTTCTTTTCCCATCTCTAATATTCCATTTTATTCCTGGAAATCGGGGTGTTTCACACCCACCTTCGTTCTCAGTGTAGTTTTTTTTCCCAAATGCGGCTTCTGGCAGCTTTTTCCTCAAGTCAGACAAGCCCATGACGTGTCTGATGTCCAGGCTGGGAGGCCTGGGGGGATAAAGCACAAAAAATTCAGGATTAGGGAGAGCTGGGGGTTCTGTGTGACAGTGGAACCCTGGCAAAAGTTAAAGCTAGAATCTAAAATGTTCGGCTTTGTGCTTTCCCAGATCAACCGCACCTGCGTAAGCAGCGTGATAAATTATATAATCGTTAGATGTGATGATTGTTTAGTAATTAAATGTAATTATTATATAACCATAAGAAGAATAGTGAGAAACTATGTTGGAAATTCAGAGAGGGGCTAAATTTGTGTATACAATAGAACAATATAAGTTTAATAATTAACATGAAAGTTCTGTAACGATAGAGTATAAAACATGATCATTTGGGATGTGTGGTCAGAGTCAGATTTGGGTTGAATATCCCCCGATTCCCAGAGCTCTTAATGAAAAGCACAGCATATAATCCCTGTGATTATGTGTTTTGGAACGTTAACATGTGGAGCCAAAAAAAGCTCTGGAAAAGGAGCAGCTCGCTCAGGATCCTGCGTGCAAACCCTGGGAATCACAAATCCGGGGAGTTCAAAGCCAGGGTTGGAGCGATCTGATTCAGTGGGAGGTGTCAGAACCGGATTATTCCGAAGCATTTTTAATTCCTCATCCAACAGCAAATTCCTGACTGCCCCAACGTGAAGGGAGCTCCAGCAGCGAAGGGAGCAGGCAGGAAGAGACAAAAATGGGTTTGAGAAACCAGGTCTGGGTTCTGGAACCAGGTTTGGGTTTGAGGAACCAGGTTTGGGTTAAGGAACCAGGTTTGGGTTCTGGAACCAGGTTTGGGTTAAGGAACCAGGTTTGGTTCTGGAACCAGGTTTGGGTTCTGGAACCAGGTTTGGGTTAAGGAACCAGGTTTGGGTTAAGGAACCAGGTTTGGGTTAAGGAACCAGGTTTGGGTTCTGGAACCAGGTTTGGGTTAAGGAACCAGGTTTGGGTTGAGGAACCAGGTTTGGGTTAAGGAACCAGGTTTGGGTTCTGGAACCAGGTTTGGGTTCTAGAACCGGGTTTGGGTTCTGGAACCGGGTTTGGGTTAAGGAACCAGGTTTGGGTTCTAGAACCGGGTTTGGGTTCTGGAACCGGGTTTGGGTTATGGAACGAGGTTTGGGTTCTGGAACCAGGTTTGGGTTCTGGAATCAGGTTTGGGTTCTGGAACCAGGTTTGGGTTGAGGAACCAGGTTTGGGTTAAGGAACCAGGTTTGGGTTCTGGAACCAGGTTTGGGTTAAGGAACCAGGCTCAGCTTGAGAAATCAGGTTTGGGTTAAGAAATGAGGTGGAGTTTAAAAAACCATGATTTGGTTAAGAAACCAAGTTTGGGTTAAGAAGCCAGGATTTGGTAAAGAACCAGGCTCAGTGTGTGAGCCCAGCTCAGTGTGCTAAGCTAGGCTCAGGTACATAAACCCAGCTCAGTGTGCTAAGCTAGGCTCAGGTACATAAACCCAGCTCAGTGTTCTAAACCCAGCTCAGATAATTAAACTCAGCTCAGTGTGCTAAGCCCAGCCCAGCCCAGCCCCACTCCCAGCTGTGTGGGCACGGTGCCCGCGCAGTGCTGAGCCTGGCTCAGGGTTCTAAGCCCAGCTCAGGGAGTTAAGCCCAGCTCAGGGGTGGCACTCACAGCTGTGCGGGCACGGTGCCCGCGCTGTGCTAAGCCTGGCTCAGGGAGTTAAGCCCAGCCCAGCCCCACTCACAGCTGTGCGGGCACGGTGCCCGCGCTGTGCTAAGCCCGGCTCAGGGAGTTAAGCCCAGCTCAGGGGTGGCACTCACAGCTGTGCGGGCACGGTGCCCGCGCTGTGCTAAGCCCAGCTCAGGGAGTTAAGCCCAGCCCAGCCCCACTCACAGCTGTGCGGGCACGGTGCCCGCGCTGTGCTAAGCCTGGCTCAGGGAGTTAAGCCCAGCTCAGGGGTGGCACTCACAGCTGTGCGGGCACGGTGCCCGCGCTGTGCTAAGCCCGGCTCAGGGAGTTAAGCCCAGCTCAGGGGTGGCACTCACAGCTGTGCGGGCACGGTGCCCGCGCTGTGCTGGCTCCTCAGGCCGATGGTGCACAGGCGCCGCCCCCCGATGCACAGCTGGCCCCGCCACGGGCACGGCGCCGGCGCCGACTGCGGCTCTGCACGGGGAACGGGACAGAACGGCCCATGGGGAACACAGAAACACAAACCAAACCCACAGCCTCAAACCCAAAAACCCCAAACGCCAAAAATCCCAAACCCCACCCGAAAAACCACGATCCCAACCCCAAAAACCACAATCACAACCCCAGACCCAAAAACCACAACCCCAAACCCAAAAACCCCAAACCCTACCCGAAAAACCACAATCACAACCCCAAAAACCACAACCACAACCCCAAAAACCCAAAAACCACAGCCTCAAGCCCAACAAGCCCAAAAAACCCCAAACCCGAAATCCCCAAATCCCAACCCCAAAAGCCCAAATCCAAAAACCACAAGCCCAAAGCCAAAATCTAAACTCAAAACCCACCACCTCAAACCCAAAAACCCCAAGCCCAAAACCTCCAAATCCAAAAACCTCAAATCCACAAACCCAGCTCAAAAAACCACAACCCCAAGCTCCTAAACCCAAAACCCACAACCCCCAACCCAAAAACCTCAAACCCAACCCAAAAAATCACAACCCCAACCACAAACTCCAAAACCACAACCACAACCCCAAAAATCCCACACCTAAACCCACAACCACAATCCCAAAAACCACAGCCTCAAACCCAAAAAACCCCAAACCCAAAACCCCAAAACCCAACCCCAAAAGCCAAATCCAAAACCGACAAACCCAAAAACCGCAAGCCCAAAGCCAAAATCCAAACTCAAAACCCACAACCTCAAACCCAAAAACCCCAAGCCCAAAAGCTACAACCCCAAAAACTCCAAACCCAAAAACCTCAAATCCACAAGCCCAGCTCAAAAAACCACAACCCCAAGCCCCTAAACCCAAAACCCACAACCACAAACTCAAAAACTACGGCCTCAAACCCAAAAAACCCCAACCCTAAAACCCAGATTCAAAAAACCACAACCCCAAGCCCCTAAACCCAAAACCCACAACCCCCCAACCCCTAAAACCCAAACTCAAAAACCGCAACCACAACCCCGAAAAGCCCAAACCCAAAAAACCACAACCTCAAACCCAAAAACCTCAAACCCAACCCAAAAAATCACAACCCCAACCACAAACTCAAAAACCACAACCCAAAAAATCCCACACCTAAACCCGCAACCACAATCCCAAAAACCCCAAACCCAAAAACCCAAACCCCAAAACCCCAAACACCCCAAACCCCAGCAGCTCTTACCTTGGTGGTTCTGCTCCGCTCTGGAGAGAGAGATCAATAAAAAAAGAAAATATTCAGAGATGGGAAAAGGAATAAAAGGAATTTTAGAGATGGAAAAAGAATAAAAAGGAGTATTAGGGATGGGAAAAAAATAAAAAAGAATTTCAGAGATGGGAAAATAAGGAAGGAATATTTAGATATGGGAAAAGATGAAAGAAAAAAAAACATCTGGGTATGGGAAAAGAGGAAAGAAAAAAAAAAACATTTGGGTATGGGAAAAGGATCAAAAGGAATTTTAGAGATAGAAAAAGAATAAAAAGAATAAAAAGGAATATTAGGGATGGAAAAAGGAATAAAAGGAATATTCAGAGATGGGAAAAGAAATAAAAGGGAATATTTAGAAATGGGAAAAGGAATAAAAAGGAATATTTAGAGATGGAAAAAGGAAGAAAAGGAATTTTAGAAATGGGAAAAAGGGAAGAAAAGGAATATTCAGACATGGGAAAAGGAGCAAAAGGAATTTTAGAGATGGAAAAAGAATAAAAAGAATAAAAAGGAATATTAGGGATGGAAAAAGGAATAAAAGGAATATTCAGAGATGGGAAAAGAGGAAAGAAGAAGAGCATTTAGGTATGGGAGATAAAAGGAACAAGAGAAATTTTACAGATGGGAAAAGAATAAAAAAGGAATATTAGGGATGGGAAAAGGAATAAAAGCAATTTTAGAGATGTGAAAAGAGGGAAGAAAATGAACATTAGAGATGGGAAAAGGATAAAAGAAATTTTAGATACGAAAAAAGGAGAAAAGGAATATTAGAGATGGGAGAAGAAATAAAAGGGAATATTTAGAAATGGGAAAAGGAATAAAAGGGAATATTTAGAAATGGGAAAAGGAATAAAATGGAATATTTAGAGATGGAAAAAGGAAGAAAAGGAATTTTAGAAATGGGAAAAGAAGGAAGAAAAGGAATATTCAGAGATGGGAAAAGAAATAAAAGGGAATATTTACAAATGGGAAAAGGAATAGAAAGGAATATTTAGAGATGAGAAAAGGAATAAAATGGAATATTTAGAGATGGGAAAAGGATAAAAGGAATTTTAAGATATGAAAAAAGGATAAAAGGAATATTACGGATGGGAAAAGGAATAAAAGGAATATTGGAGATGAGGAAAGAAATAAAAGGGAATATTTAGAAATGGGAAAAGGAATAAAAAGGAATATTTAGAGATGGAAAAAGGAAGAAAAGGAATTTTAGAAATGGGAAAAGAGGGAAGAAAAGGAATATTCAGACATGGGAAACGAAACAAAAGGGAATATTTACAAATGGGAAAAGGAATAGAAAGGAACATTTAGAGATGGGAAAAGGATAAAAGGGAAAATTGGAGATGGGAAAAGGATAAAAAGGAATATTAGTGATGGAAAAAGGATAAAAAGGATTTTAGGATGGAAGAAGGAACAAAAGGAATATTAGAGATGGGAAAGGAATAAAAGGAACATCAGTGATGGGAAAAGGAAAAAAGGAATTCCAGGGCAGGGAGGGGAGCAGAGGGCTCTGGGTGTCCTTACGGGCGTGGCGGGGCCGGCGCGGGCATCTCCCGGGGCGGGCGGTACTGGCAGGACAGCAGCACGTACGGGCACACCTGGCGGGGCCGCTCGGCCGCCCCCGCCCCGCTCACCTCGTACACGTAGTACTGGGGAGAGAGAGAAACAGCTGTGGGATATTGGGGAATAATCTACAGGAATGGGAATTCACCCCGCTCACCTCATACGTGTAGTACTGGGGAGAGACAGGGAAATATCCATGGGATATTGGGGATAATCCATGGGGAACGGGGAATTCACCCCGCTCACCTCGTACACGTAGTACTGGGGAGAGACAGGGAAATATCCATGGGATATTGGGGATAATCCATGGGGAATGGGAATTCACCCCGCTCACCTCGTACACGTAGTACTGGGGAGAGACAGGGAAATATCCATGGGATATTGGGGATAATCCATGGTGAACGGGGAATTCACCCCGCTCACCTCGTACATGTAGTACTGGGGAGAGAGAGAAACAGCTGTGGGATACTGGGGATAACCCATGGGATAATGGGAAATTATCCCGCTCACCTCGTACACGTAGTACTGGGGAGAGAGAGAAACAGCTGTGGGATATTGGGGATAACCCATGGGGAACAGGGAATTCACCCCGCTCACCTCGTACACGTAGTACTGGGGAGAGACAGGGAAATATCCATGGGATATTGGGGAATAATCTACAGGGAATGGGAATTCACCCCGCTCACCTCATACGTGTAGTATTGGGGAGAGACAGGGAAATATCCATGGGATATTGGGGATAATCCATGGGGAACGGGGAATTCACCCCGCTCACCTCGTACACGTAGTACTGGGGAGAGACAGGGAAATATCCATGGGATATTGGGGATAATCCATGGTGAACGGGGAATTCACCCCGCTCACCTCGTACACGTAGTACTGGGGAGAGACAGGGAAATATCCATGGGATATTGGGGATAATCCATGGGGAATGGGAATTCACCCCGCTCACCTCGTACACGTAGTACTGGGGAGAGACAGGGAAATATCCATGGGATATTGGGGATAATCCATGGGGAATGGGAATTCACCCTGCTCACCTCGTACATGTAGTACTGGGGAGAGACAGGGAAACAGCTGTGGGATATTGGGGATAACCCATGGGGAACGGGAAATTCACCCCGCTCACCTCATACATGTAGTACTGGGGAGAGAGAGAAACAGCTGTGGGATATTGGGGATAATCCATTGGATAATGGGAAATTACCCCGCTCACCTTGTACACATAGTATTGGGGAGAGACAGGGAAATATCCATGGGATATTGGGTATAATCCATGGGATAATGGGAATCATCCATAGGGAACAGGGAATTCATCCATGGGGAACAGGGAAATCATCCATGGGATACTGGGAATCTCATGGGAAAAGGGCAATCCCTGGACTCCCTGGCCAAGGGCCCCCCCCGGCGTACCTGGCTGCTCCCGCTGGACACGTGGCAGTCGTAGCCGGGGGAGGGGCAGGTGGAGCTGCTGGGGGAGCTCTCAGGGATGGCTCTGACCTTGCCCTGCACCAAAAACACATCCCAAGCGTGAAATCCATCCCAAAAATCCATCCCAAACATGAAATCCATCCCAAGCATGAAATCCATCCCAAAAATCCATCCCAAACATGAAATCCATCCCAAGCGTGAAATCCATCCCAAAAATCCATCCCAAACATGAAATCCATCCCAAGCATGAAATCCATCCCAAAAATCCATCCCAAGCGTGAAATCCATCCCAAAAATCCATCCCAAACATGAAATCCATCCCAAACATGGAAATCCATCCCAAAAATCCACCCCAAGCATGGAAATCCATCCCAAACGTGGAAATCCATCCCAAAAATCCATCCCAAACATGAAATCCATCCCAAAAATCCATCCCGAGCATGGAAATCAATCCCAAGCATGAAATCCATCCCAAAAATCCATCCCAAACATGGAAATCCATCCCAAACGCGGAAATCCATCCCAAAAATCCATCCCAAGCATGAAAATCCATCCCAAAAATCCACCCCAAGCTTGGAAATCTATCCCAAAAACACATCCCAAGCATGGAAATCCATCCCAAAACTCCATCCCAAGCATGAAACCCATCCAAAAATCCACCCCAAGCATGGAAATCCATCCAAAAATCCATCCAAGCATGGAAATCCATCCAAAAATCCATCCCAAGCATGAAATCCATCCCAAACATGGAAATCCATCCCAAAAATCCATCCCAAACACGGAAATCCATGGAATCCATTCCAAAAATCCACCCCAAGCATGGAAATCCATCCCAAAAATCCACCCCAAACGCGGAAATCCATCCCAAAAATCCATCCCAAGCATGGAAATCCATCCCAATACCACATCCCAAACATGGAAATCCATCACAAAAATCCACTCCAAGCATGGAAATCCATCCCAAAAACACATCCCGAGCATGGAAATCCATCCCAAACGCGGAAATCCATCCCAAACGCGGAAATCCATCCCAAAAATCCATCCCAAACATGAAATCCATCCCAAAAATCCATCCCAAACATGAAATCCATCCCAAAAATCCATCCCGAGCATGGAAATCAATCCCAAGCATGAAATCCATCCCAAAAATCCATCCCAAGCATGAAATCCATCCCAAACATGGAAATCCATCCCAAAAATCCATCCCAAACACGGAAATCCATGGAATCCATTCCAAAAATCCACCCCAAGCATGGAAATCCATCCCAAAAATCCACCCCAAACATGGAAATCCATCCCAAACATGGAAATCCATCCCAAAAATCCATCCCAAGCATGGAAATCCATCCCAATACCACATCCCAAACATGGAAATCCATCACAAAAATGCACTCCAAGCACGGAAATCCATCCAAAAACACATCCCGAGCATGGAAATCCATCCCAAACGCGGAAATCCATCCCAAACGCGGAAATCCATCCCAAACGCGGAAATCCATCCCAAAAATCCATCCCAAACATGAAATCCATCCCAAAAATCCATCCCAAGCATGGAAATCCACTCCAAATCACCTCCAGACAGAAGGAATGGGAAAAAAAATAAAATTAAACATCCCAAAATTCCTGAAATTCCAAGGAAAAATGGGAATTTGAGTTTCCATCCCACCAGAACTGCGGGCAGCAAAATCTCAAATTCAAAGAGAAATTTCCAATCTCAGGAGTTTGGGGTTGGAATCAGCTCCAGAGAGAAGGAAGGGAAAAAAATCCTTAAAACTTCCCAAAATTCCTAAAAATCCAAGGAAAAACTGGAGTTTGAGTTTCCATCCCACCAGAATTATGGGATGGAAACTCAAACTCCAATTTTTATTTCAATAAAAATAAAGAGGAAAATAAAAATAAAAATATAAAAATAAAATAAAAATCAAGAAGAAAAGAGAAATAAAAAGAGAAAAATCCAACGTGAAGAGTTTGGGGTTGGAATCAGCTCCAGAGAGAAGGGGAAAAAAATCCTTAAAATTCCCAAAATTCCAAGGAAAAATTGGATTTTGGAGTTTGATTTCTAGAGAATAAAAACATTTGGGTTTTACCTTGATGAGTTTACAGATGACAATAAATCCTGATTTTCCCTGGTGCCAAGGGCAGTCGGAATATTTGGAAATATAAACCCCTGAAAACAATGAAAAAATGAATTATTTGTTAGCAGGGAAAGATATTCCCAAAAAATCCCAGAAAAAGGTGGAATTCGGGCTCTTTCCATTGATTTTTTTTTGGATTTTCATTAGGAGAAAATGAGAAATATTCCAAGAAAATGAGAAATATTCCCAAAAAAATGAGAAATATTCCAAGAAAATGGGAAATACTCCATGAAAATTAGAATTATTCCCAGAAAATGGAAAAAAAATCGAAGAAAATGGGAATATTCCAAGAAAAATGAGAAATATTCCAAGAAAATCAGTTCTTGGGTAACAAAGGTTGGGAATATTCCAAGAAAAATAAGAAATATTTCAAGAAAATGAGAAATAGTCCCAGAAAATACAAAATATTCCCAGAAAATTAAAAATATTCCCAAAAGAGGAGAAATAATATCAGAAAATAAAAACATTCCCAGAAAATGAGAAAATATTCCCAAAAAAATGAGAAATATTCCAAGAAAATGAGAAATATTCCATGAAAATTAGAATTATTCCCAGAAAATGGAAAAAATGTGAAGAAAATGGGAAATATTCCAAGAAAATGAGAAAATATTCCCAAAAAAATGAGAAATGTTCCAAGAAAATGGGAAATATTCCATGAAAATTAGAATTATTCCCAGAAAATGAGAAATAGTCCCAAAAAAATGAGAAATATTCCAAGAAAATGAGAAATATTCCCAAAAAAATGAGAACTATTCCAAGAAAATGGGAAATATTCCATGAAAATTAGAATTATTCCCAGAAAAAGGAAAAATGTGAAGAAAATGGGAAATATTCCAAGAAAATCAGTTTTGGGAATTTGAAGAGAATTTGAAGGACTTTTATTCCCAAAATGGGAATTTTGAAGGAATTTTGAAGGACTTTTTATTCCCAAAATGGGAATTTTGAAGGAATTTTGAAGGAGTTTTATTTCCAGATTGGAAATTTTGAAAGTATTTGAAGGAATTGCATTCCCAGAGTGGGAATTTGGAAAGAATTTTGAAGGAGTTTTATTCCCAAAAATGGGAATTTGGAAGGAATTGCATTCCCAGAATGGGAGTTTGGAAAGAATTTGAAGGAGTTTTTGAAGGAGTTTTATTCTCAGATTGGAAATTTAGATGGAATTTCATTCCCAAAATGGGAATTTTGAAGGAATTTTGAAGGAGTTTTATTCCCAAAATGGGAATTTAAAGGAATTGCATTCCCAGAGTGGGAATTTGGAAAGAATTTGTATGAAATTCCTTCAAATTCCTTCCAAATTCCCAGACTTTTATTCCCAAAATGGGAATCTGGAAGGAATTTGAAGGAGTTTTATTCCCAAAATAGGAATTTTGAAGGAATTTGGAAAAGGAATTTGAAGGAGTTTTACTCCCAGAATGGGAATTTGGAAAGAATTTGGAAGGAGTTTCATTCTCAGAATGGAAATTTGATGGAGTTTTGAAGGAATTGCATTCCCAGAGTGGGAATTTGGAAAGAATTTGGGAATGGGAAAAATGGGAAATTAGAAGGAAATTTATTCCCAGAATGGAATTTGGAAGGAATTTCTGAAGGAGTTTTATTCCCAAAATGGGAATTTGAAGGAGTTTCATTCCCAGAATGGGAATCTGGAAGGAATTTGGAAGGAATTTGGCAGGAATTGAAGGAGTTCCATTCCCAGAGTTTTGGGAATTTGGAAGAAATTCTGAAGGAATTGAAGGAGTTTATTCCCACAATTTTGGGAATTTGAAAGACTTTTATTCCCAAAAGAAAGAATTTGAAGGACTTTTATTCCCAAAATGGAAATTTGAAGGAATTTTGAAGGAGTTTTGCATTCCCAAAATGGAAATTTGATGGAGTTTTGAAGCTGTTTTATTCTCAGAGCGGGAATTTGACAGGAATTTCTGAAGGAGTTTCATTCCCAGAATGGAAATTAGGAAAGAATTTGAAAGAGTTTTACTTCCAGAGTGGGAATTTGAAGGAGTTTTATTCCCAGAATGGGAATTTGGAAAGAATTTGAAGGAGTTTTATTCTCAAAATGGGAATTTGAAGGAATTTTGAGGGAATTTCATTCTCAGAATGGGAATTTGGAAGGAATTTGAATGAAATTCCTTCAAATTCCTTCCAAATTCCCAGACTTTTATTCCCAAAATGGGAATTTGGAAGGAATTTGAAGGAGTTTTACTCCCAGAATGGAAATTTGGAAGGAATTTCTGAATGAGTTTCATTCCCAAAAATGGGAATTTGGAAGGAGTTTTGAAGGAATTTCATCCCCAGAGTGGGAATTTGAAGGAGTTTTGCATTCCCAGAATGGGAATTTGACAGGAATTTCTGAAGGAGTTTCATTCCCAGAATGGAAATTCGGAAAGAATTTGAAGGGGTTTTATTCTCAGAGGGGGAATTTGAAGGAATTTGAAGGAGTTCCATTCCCAAAATTGGAATTTGAAGGAATTGCATTCCCAGCATGGGAATTTAGATGGAATTTCACTCCAAGAGTGGGAATTTGGAAGGAATTTTGAAGGAGTTTTGCATTCCCAGAATGGGAATTTGAAGGAGTTTCAAAGGAGTTTATTCACAGAGTGGAAATTTAGAAAGAATTCGAAAGAGTTCATTCCCAGAATGGGAATTTGGAAGGAATTTGAAGGAGTTTTATTCTCAAAATGTGAATATGAAGGAATTGCATTCCCAGAATGGGAGTTTGGAAAGAATTTGAAGGAGTTTTTGAAGGAGTTTTATTCTCAGATTGGGAATTTAGATGGAATTTCATTCCCAAAATGGAAATTTGATGGAGTTTTGAAGCTGTTTTATTCTCAGAGTGGGAATTTGACAGGAAATATCTGAAGGAGTTTCATTCCCAGAATGGAAATTAGGAAAGAATTTGAAAGAGTTTTAGTTCCAGAGTGGGAATTTGGAAGGAATTGAAGGAGATCCATTCCCAGAGTTTTGGGAATTTGGAGGGAATTTGGAAGGAATTGGAGGAGTTTATTACCAGAATTTGGAAGGAATTCTGAAGGAATTCTGAAGGAATTCTGAAGGAGTTCCATTCCCAGAGTTTTGGGAATTTGGATGGAATTCTGAAGGAATTGGAGGAGTTTATTCCCAGAGTTTTGGGAATTCTGAAGGAATTGAAGGAGCTCCATCCCCAGAGTTTTGGGAATTTGGGAGGAATTTGGAAGGAATTCTGAAGGAATTGGAGGAGTTTTGAAGGAGTTCCATCCCCAGAGTTCTGGGAATTCTGAAGGAATTGGAGGAGTTCCATCCCAGAGTTTTGGGAATTTGGATGGAATTTGGCAGGAATTGGAGGATCTCCATTCCCAGAGTTCTGGGAATTCTGAAAGAACTGAAGGAATTCCATTCCCACAGTTTTGGGAATTCGGAAGGAATTTGGATGGAATTTGGCAGGAATTGGAGGAGTTTTGAAGGAATTCCCTTCCCAGGGTTCTGGGAATCCCCCCCAGCCGGGATTTACCTTGGGCAGGGTCCCCCAGGGCGCCGCTGTCGCTGCTGTTGACTCGGAGCCCGCTCTGGCAGACCCGCTGTGCCTGCAGCAACAGGGAAAGCTCATTTTCCACCTTTGATCCAGGAAACATTCCCAGGAAATGGGAAACATTCCCAGGAAATGGGAAACATTGCCAGGAAATGGGAAACATTCCCAGGAAATGGGAAACATTCCCAGGAAATGGGAAATATTGCCAGGAAATGGGAAACATTCCCAGGAAATGGGAAATATTGCCAGGAAATGGGAAATACTGCCAGGAAATGGGAAACATTCCCAGGAAATGGGAAACATTCCCAGGAAATGGGAAACATTGCCAGGAAATGGCAAATATTGCCAGGAAATATTCCCAGGAAATGGGAAATATTGCCAGGAAATGGGAAACATTCCCAGGAAATGGCAAATATTGCCAGGAAATATTGCCAGGAAATGGGAAACATTGCCAGGAAATATTGCCAGGAAATGGGAAATATTGCCAGGAAATGGGAAATATTGCCAGGAAATATTCCCAGGAAATGGGAAACATTCCCAGGAAATATTCCCAGCAAATCGGTTATTGGGTGATAAGGGTGCTAATATTCCCAGGAAATCAGAAATATTCCCAGGAAATCAGAAATATTCCCAGGAAATCCGAAATATTCCAAAGAAATGAGGAATTCCAAGTAATTCCAAGTAATTCTGAATAATTCCACTGGCACCAAGGAAAATTCCTTTTTCTCCAATCAGATCTGCCCTTAAAACCCCCAGGAGCCAAAGAAATAATTCCAAATAATCCCAAATAATTCCAAATATTTCCAAAGAATCTCAAAGAATTCCAAAGACCCACGAATAATTATCCCAAAGAATCCCAAAAAATTCTATTTCATTTCAGTGGCACCAAAGAAAATTCCTTTTTCTCCAATCAGAGCCATCCCTAAAACCCCCAGGAGCCAAATAATCCCAAAATTCCAAATAATCCCAAATAATTCCAAAAAAATTTCTGATCATTCCAGTGGCACAAAGGAAAATTCCTTTTTTTCCAATCCGATCCAGATCTAAAGACCATCAGGAGCCAAAAAATCCCAAATAAACCCAATAATTCCAAAGAATTCCAAATAATCCCAAATAATTCCATTTAATTCCACTGGCACCAAGGGAAATTCCCTTTTTTCCCATCAGATCCATCCCTAAAACCCCCAGGAGCCAAAGAATCCCAAAGAACCCCAAATAATTTAAAATAATTTAAAATAATTCCAATAAGAATTCCAATAAGAATTCCAATAAGAATTCCCAATAATCCCAAATATTTCCAAAGAATTCCCAAGAATCCTAAGGAATCCCAGCTAATCCCACTGGCACCAAGGAAAATTCCTTTTTCTCCAATCAGAGCCATCCCTAAAACCCCACAGGAGCCAAATGAATAATGCCAAATAATTGCAAATAATTTCAAATAATTCCAATAAGAATTCCAATAAATCCCAAAGAATTCCAAATATTCCCAAGGAATCCCAA